GCGCCATCGGCGCGCCCAAGATTCCGAACGTCACATGGGACGACGTCGGTGGTCTGACCAATGTCAAGGACGCAGTGACGGAAACCATTCAGCTGCCCCTCGAGAGGCCCGAACTCTTCGCCAAGGGCATGAAGAAGAGGTCAGGTATCCTGTTCTATGGACCTCCCGGTACCGGAAAGACCCTGTTGGCGAAGGCTATTGCAACGGAGTACAGCTTGAACTTCTTCAGTGTCAAGGGTCCCGAGCTGCTCAACATGTACATTGGTGAGTCGGAAGCCAACGTCAGACGTGTGTTCCAACGTGCCAGAGATGCCCGCCCTTGTGTTGTCTTTTTCGACGAGTTGGATTCGGTGGCGCCAAAGCGTGGAAACCAGGGAGACAGTGGTGGTGTAATGGACCGCATCGTTTCCCAACTCCTCGCCGAATTGGACGGCATGTCGGGAGGCGACGATACCAGTGGCGGCGTCTTCGTCATTGGCGCCACGAACAGACCTGATCTGCTCGACGCCGCTCTTCTCCGTCCGGGACGTTTCGACAAGATGCTCTATCTCGGCGTGTCAGATACTCATGACAAGCAGCGTACGATCCTCGAGGCTCTCACCCGAAAGTAAGATCACCCACCCCTTCCTCCACGAAGATACCCATCTTGCGTATGTTGTATACTGACACTTTCCCCCTAGATTCACCCTCCACCCAGCAGTGTCTCTGCAAGCCGTTGCGGACCGCCTGCCCTTCACCTACACGGGAGCCGACTTTTACGCATTGTGCAGTGACGCGATGCTCAAGGCGGTCACGCGGCAAGCCGCGGCTGTTGACGCAAAGATCCGCGAGATTAACGCCGAGAGGCCGCAGGGACCCATCTCGACGGCCTACTTTTTTGATCACCACGCCACGCCCGAGGACATTGCCGTGATGGTCACCGAGGAGGACTTTATGAATGCGCATAACGAGCTCGTGCCGAGTGTCAGTGCCGGCGAGCTGGCGCATTACGAGAGTGTGAGGGCTAGCTTCGAGGGGTCGCCGGAAAAGCAGCAGCAGCCACAGCAACGGCCCGCTCCTGCTGCTGTCTCGTCGGCTGGGGGCAACAGGGCTGTTTCTGCGTCCTCGATTGTTTCGAGGGCTAGTTCTAAGGGGAAGGGGAAGGCGACTGCGGCCGCGTCGTCCAAGGGGAAAGGGAAGGCCTTGGCGCTAGATAGTGATGATGATGAGTACGGGTCCGAAGATGATGGCACTGTTACGAATGGCAAGGGAAAGGGCAAGGGCAAGGCCGTTGCTACATTTCAGGATGGAACGGCTAGTGATGATGAGGGATTGTACTAAGTTTTAAGGAAAGAGAGCAGAAAACAAATCAAGGGCTGTCGATATACCGACACAGCATCTTTGAAATGTATACTTGGAATATTTGTAAGGGGTACTTTGTTTCCAACGGGGAGAGTCATTGCGGAGATTGGAGTAATGATGCGGTATACATAGCATATGGTATATATTTCTGTAATTCTACATGATCATGCTGGAACATTTGTACAGGAGCCTCCTTCCTCTCTTCATGGGCTCACGATCCATCCTCCTCTCCTACACGAGGGCATTTCAGGCACACCCCTCTTCACCGTGCAAGAGCAAACGCCTCGGGACTTTAGCTGATGCGCTCCGCCTCCTCCATGAGCTTCTCGACACTAAACCGCTCATCCCCCAACCGGAACCACTCCAACAGCTTTCTCCTCTCCTCGGCCCTCTCCTTGCCCTCCGCCTCGCCATAGAACCGCTGCAGACACAGCACGAGCCACTGCGCGTGCGCCGTCTTGACCCCGCGGTCCTCGAGGCACTTGCCCTGCATCAGCACGAGGCCCCTGTCGGCCGCGAGGTCGGTGTGGTGCGTGATGGTCGTGTGCGGCTGGGCGAACTCGCCGCGCGCCTTGAACTCGGCGAGCTGCGTGAACATGACTGTCGCGGTGCGCGAGGCGGCGTCAAAGACCCATTGCAGGAAGTGGATCTCGGCGCCCTGGGACTCGTGCGGGACGGGGAGGATGAACTGCGGGTTCTGGCGGGCGAGGGATTCCATCTGCGCGTAGGTCGCTGCCGGGATCACGGCGCAGAGCGAGGACGGGTCCGAGGCGTGGCGGAGGCGCCAGATGGCTGTGAGTTCCTTGTCCGGCAGCTCGCGCGCCTTGGGGAGGTCGAGAATCTCGTCGAGGGGTTTGACGCCGTTGCCCGAGGAGGATCCGGGAATCGGGGCCTTGTCTTTCGTCTGTGTCTGGGCTTCTCCCGTCTCGCTCGTTGTTGTAGTAGCCGTCGTCGGTATCGCCGCGGGCGCGGGCTCGTCGTTGAGGAGGTGTTCGAGGCCCGGCACGGAGAGGGCGTCCTTCTTCTTCTGCTCCTGGATCTTGTCGGCGTAGGCGGCCTTGAGCTCGTCAATGTTGGAGACGCCCTCCTGCTGGGCCTTCTTCTCGAGCTTGGCGCGGTACTTTTCGACGACGGCGCGAGGTTGTTGAGTCGTGGCGAGGAAGCGGGCGTCGTGGACCTGGGCCCAGCGGCGTTGGTTTGAGGCGCGGAAGGCGCGTTGGGAGGTGGTGACCAGGTGCCGTAGGGCTGGGATCCGACAGGAGGCCATCGTTTGTGTATGTATGTTGTGCGTAGGAGCGCGGACGTCGCAATTGGGTCTGTAGCCCTCGAGAGGGTTCGTATGCGATTCGTATGTGTACGGCGATCAAGGGCCGTGGGTGGTTTGGGTGAGGAGTGATGTTGATATGATGGTGGTGATGTCGATTGAGGACCGGATGGCAATAATTTTTACTGGGGTGGATGTCACTTGAAGATGCAGCGTCTTCGATTCCAGAGCTCTTGTGGGTCCCCGGATGGTGGGGCCGACTTTCGGCGCAGCTAGCCCGTGGTCGGCATTTTAGCTGCGCCGGGCGGGAACTCTGAATGAAGTACGGAGCTCTTGGTGATTGAGAAGATAATGATTTCTTTATCGAATGGTCTTAGCATGGTGTGTAAAAGTGAGATCAGCCTCCTTCTGTTTCGATTTGGTCTCTCGCGCACGCACCTTGAGTAATTCGCCCTGAGTAAACCGCCGCATGGTTACATTATGTTCTCCATCTTGTATCCATCCCCGTCTCTTCCCACCCCGAATCTCTTCGGTGTTACGAGAGATGTGGGCTCGGCTGGCTTCGCAGCTCAGATCCAAGTTACGAGGATACTTTCACAATAGTTTTCCCAATACTTTCCAGTCATCCGCGCTGGTTCGTCTCCCGACAGAAACAGTTTTCGTTCCATCTCAAACCATCACAACAGCTATCACCCCTTCCCACTCCATCTAATGCTCAGGACCACCAAGATCCCCAGCCTAATGGAAAAATCCTTCGCGACACTTGGCTTGAGAAAGCCCAACGGAAGCTAGGGCGAAGAGCGTCACGCGCGGCCTGTTAATGCTGTTCATATTTGCAACAGTACAACGTTGACCATGGAGCGTCAGGCTCGTTCATGCCTATCCCAAGTTTCACCCCGCCTCAATTCTCATGGTCTCACTGGGAATCCCGTGAAACCAAAATGTTCTGTTGATTTTAAAGTAAAATCATCAATCCGGCTCCCACAAGCTACCTGGTTCTTCGTTGCAGAATTACACATCATAAGATACCTACGCAGACATCGATGCCTCCCACTGCCGGCTACACCAGAAAGAATCAAAAGGGCTAACACCTGATTGGTAGATACAAGAACGTATACGAAAATGACAGGCGCCTGTCGGAAACAGCCCATACTTGCCAATCTAGTCCAACGGGTTGAGTGAGTACCTCCACAGAGTTGGGATATAAAGTGTACGGGACTTGCAAAACGACGATTCGGAGTAACTTTCCAGGACCTGGAGCACATCAGCCTACCTACCTCGGGATGTTTGCGTCTCCAGGCAGGTTTCGAGCTTCGCCTCCCTTCTGCAATAATGGACCAAGGTCCATACACGGCAATCTCACATAGGAGAAGCGCACTCGCCGTCGCGGGCTATCCTCAGTGCAGACTCGACATCAGCATCGCTCCCAGACGAGCGATGAATGAGACGAGTCTCCTCGTTCAAGACTCGTTCAAGCACTAAAAGAGCTGAACCTCAATCACGAAATAAGGACCGTCATCCGAAAGCGCCTACCATTCCAACCCCGAAACATGAAGCTGCATAGAAACGAGGATGCATGCTTGGGACACAGAATGCGGGGGAAAGCGCCGTTACTTACCCCATGCTTCCCCCCCCCCCCTAATCCGGGGTAGCAAGGCCGCTAGGATGCAAATGGCGTCCGGTTGGAGTGGTGGTGATGATGGACCAAGTCACCTACCAGGATTGGTCCAACCCCGACCGAACACCTGTTACCTGCTCGTTCTAGACCACACACGCGCAGCCATGCATGACGCGCAAACGAGTATGGCTCCCGTCCATCCCGTCCATCCGGGGTCGGTTTCGACGTGGTGACGCTTGTCAAAACGCGCGGGGAGAGGGGAAAAACCAGGCCAGGGGGGGTTTTCCATTCTCCTTTAGTGTAAGGACGATCCGACATCCGGCAGTTCGTTCCCTTGCCCCCTCTCATCTCATCTCATCTCTATTCTGACTACATATCACCTTCTGTTCGTGCACGCTATATGATGACAGTTCGTCAGTATCAAGTGTGTTTTCAGTCTTTCAAAGGTTCATGTTGATGTTGTACAGGAACTATGGACAGAAAACAACGAAAATATGAAAACAAGTCCAGGAGTGGACTGCAGGTAAGTTGGTCAGTCGCTCGAAAACCAAGTTCGAGGAGAAGGGGGGCGTCAAGTGGCCACCACTTTCTCTCGAACAGACTCTTTCCTCCTCTCTATCTATCGGTACGCCGATTCCGCGTGGATATCTCTCTCTTTCTCATCTCCCAAGTCTAAGTCTCTCCTCTTCGTCTTTTTGTCCCTCTTCTTTGCTCTATTGTTTTTTTTTTCACCCTTCCCTTCAGTCAGTCACTCAAAACATGATTAAGCGACTGCTTTTAGTCCTGCCAAGTGGGCTTGAAGGTCCAGCGCTCCTCGGCGCCCTGGGCAAAGGGAACACCGAGCTCAAACAGCTTGACAATGACGTTGGAGAAGTCCTTGAAGAAGGCCTCGTTGTCCTTGGCGTACACCTCGACCTGCTTCTTGAAAGCCTTGTCCTGGATCAAGGCGTAGTCGGCGGGAAGCATCATCAGGGACTTGGTGCCCTTGTCCTCGTACTGCGCGGGTCAAAATTGTTAGCACATTCGTCTCTCCTTGTTATGGTTTCCATTCCCCGCCAAGTCGACGAGAGCGCCAAGATGGTAAAGAATGGGGAGAGAGTTGGCTTACCTGAGCGGGACCATTCCACTTCTTCCACTGCCACTTCTCGTTCAGGAGAAGCTTGTAGTAGTCGTTGGTCAGGACGGTAGGGGAGAAAGTCCAAGGGCCGTCGAAGCCGGAGCGGTCAACGTGGCAGCGGCCGAGGGCGTGGGCGCCGGAGAGGGCGACAATCTCCTGGTCGTTGAAGCCCATGCGGTAGAAGATGTCACGGAGGTGCTTCTCGCGCTGGGAGGCGTCGGGGAGACGGCCATCAGGGGTGCAGGCGGCAGCCTCGCCATCCTTGCGGCCGGGGCGGTAGGGGATGACAGGGCCCTGCATCTCCTGGATGGCGGCGACGCCGCCGAGGATCCAGAGGTCGGAGTAAGTGATCCAGGGGAATTGCTCTGCGAGAGAACGTTAGCGAGTGTTCGTTCCATTGGCATCCAATGCAGAAGGCGTTGCGCTTCGCTTCCAGATCGTCCTTCGAACTGCGACTCATTTGGAGGGAGAGGTTTCACTTACCCTTGACGGGCTGAAGGAAGTCACGGGCAGCCTTCAGGCCAGCGTTGGCGCCGTGGTCAGACTCGGGGGCGAAGCGCATGGTAGCACCGTTGCTGCCGCCAGTACCAGTCTCCTTGTCAAAGGTACCGCTGGCGTGCCACGCGAGACGAACGAGAACGGGGCCGTAGCTGCCGTCGTCGTAGTCGTCCTTCTCCTCGAGGCGGTCGGCAATGACCTTGTACACCTTCTCGTAGTCGGCCTTTGTGGGGTTGACGACCTTGGGGACGGAGCCGGCGGAGACGCCGCCCTCCTTGGTGAAGAGGTAGGCGCCGCCGGCGCCGGCGACGGCCAGGCCGGAGAGCCAGATCCAGGTGGAGCTGCCGGACTTGCTGGCGGGCTCGGAGGAGTAGAGGCGGCGGCCCTGCTGGCGGAAGGCCTGGCGGGGGGCGGCAGCGGCGAAGGAGGTTCTGGTGGAGGTTCTCAGCGCCGCGCGGGCGAACTGTCTTGTGGAAGCGGCCATCTGCGCGAGTTCAAACGTCAGATTGGGGGTTGTTTCTTGTGGGAGTGTGCGGTGTGTGTCTGCTGAGAGACACAGGCATATCGGGTAATCTCGGTTTGAGATAAGGCAGCAGGGCAGAAGCTCGACGGCAAAGGGAACTGTGTAGGAGAGCTCTGACGGGAGTCTGAAGAGTACTAACCTTGGTGGAAGCTTTGATGAGGTGGTTATGGAGTTCCAGATAGAATCAACAACGCGATTGAAGTAAATGGAAGAAGGGAAGGAGGCTTTCGAAGGAGGGGGGGGAACGAAGTGGAAGGGGAGACTGGCGGCGCGGCCCTTTGAATATAAATCTCGAATGTTCGTTGCCCCGGGGGCGTTTGAGAAATACCAATGTACCCTGCACCGGCACCAGCCTGCCTTTGACACTAACAAGAGGTAGAGTCAGTTTCCACGGTCCATTGCCCATCGGGAAGGGGGGGGTCAAGAACCGAGGGAGGGGGGACCTTTGGCAACCGTGAACCTGTGAAATGAGAAATTGGGAACTTCTGAGTGGTCAGAAGCAGGAGCTCCAGCGTCGACTGGGGTGTTACGGGTATCCATCTTTTTCTTCCATGGGCTTGCGTCGGGGGTCTGCTTGCAAGGGTCGATGGACGTGGACGGACGGTGGGACCGCCTCGCCATGTGGATATTCCAAGTTTGCTAGGCTTGTGTTCAAAGTCTTCTGCTCCCATTTACGTTTGCTAGGCCTTCGTTCGCGGTGGAGCCCGCTTTTGCGGCTGTTTGGTGTCCGTCCGTATTTGTGGCATTTATTTTTCTTCGCTTTTCTTACGGGCACATGTAGGTTACGGGCAGTAAAACGTAAAACGGTGGAAGATGTGCGCGTGGTGGTTGCTGCGCTAGCAAACCAGAGCCCGATATCGACTTTTCGAAACGTACCGGTCCCCGATACCGCCCGCCGTATCTTGCAAAATGACACGGGCTTTTGAGCTAAGGTACGCCGCACGGGATGATATCAGTCTACGCTGACACATGCCACATGGCTTCTAAACCTTTTCCGTCCTTATTTTGCTTCAGTCTTACCTTGCCTTACTATGTCGTTCTGACTCCTGATACGTAATCGGCTGAACTCCCTAACCGAGCATCTCCGAGAGATGATTTCATAAGCATTGAACAAAAATCCAAACACAAAGTATCAATGTCTTCACTTCATGTCGTAGGTAACCTCGTTGATATGTCTCGCCTCCCAAAATAACGACAGTTATCCCTCGGCTAGCAGGCCGAACGTTCCCCGCTGACTGTACCACGCACGTCTGTCCTTTCATCTTGCAGTATTTGTAATTAATTGCCCGCCGTACCCAGTTTCCCCATCGCATCCGTTGACTCAGAAAGCCAAGCCCACCTCACCCCAAGGGCCCAAAACGGCCCCAGGTCCAGGACGGCGACGCATGGTAAGATCATAAAATTGGGCTCGCCGCTCGGGGAGCCGGGGAGGGAAAAGACGACACAGGCACGCATCCCCAGCGGATCTGAGAGTCGCCCCGAGATAAGCTACCTACACTACCGAACAAATTCTCATGAACGCTATCAGTGTACGGAGTACTTTTGCACCCAATTTTCTACGACTCGAAACATGGGCAACGTGCTTCGTGACTTCACAACAACGCTGACTCGTCAGCAGCTATTCCTCGCCTCACCAACGTTGTTTCTCGGGATTTGCTCATGCTCAGTCGGGAACAACGACGGCCTTATTGTACTGCCGTAAACCTTCATCCCGGGCTTACAACACGTGGGCTGAACTGGGTTGCACCGCATTATCACGGCGCGCAATGCTCGCTCTCTCGCTCTCGGTTGTTCGGCGTTTTGCTTACTGTCACGCTTTAAGGAACTGAAAGGACCCTTTTATGACGACAAGAAGCATACCGTTGTCGCCATATTCCCACCGGCTACCTCCTCCGGTACCATCCCCACCCTCCACTTCCCACGGGTTCGGATGCTCCCTCTCCAACCTCACGCCATCATACGGATTCCTACCCGAACTCACAATACCATCCAGTGAGGCACTTGCTTTACCATCTCTCTCTTCAACCAAAACCATTGAATTCGAGGAAATTGTACAACACTTGGGGTGCATGTGTCCCGGGGCTCATTAGCCACTTTCCCTCCATGACCCCTTTGGTCCCCTTTTTTCTTTCCTCAACGGCGCCGTTGCAAAAAAGAAAAAAAAAAAGAAAACGGTCCTCTCCATCCCAGAACCGTTTCCTCGGGAAACGTAGCCCAGCTCCGTCCCTGATAGGGCGGAAAATCTGAACCCTTTCCTTAGCCCCTTCATTACAACACCATCTAAAATGGGCAAAAACTTCCTTGTGCAGACTCACTAGTCACTACTCCGTAAGGTACTGTGTAAAGTGCCAACTCAATTCGCATACCCCTGTTCGTGCTTGGTAATTAGCCCCTTCTTCACCTGCATTATCTAGGGACTCTCTGTTTCTCTAACTTATGCTTTTTGCCCGATGCCGGCGACACGGGACAGACCCGGGCTCCAAAACTGCGATTCTTATGCGTACGTCAACGCGTCTTTCATATGCATTCACCAGTGACATCACTGCATCCAGCCGTTGCTCTTGACAATCCTTATACAGCCCGAGGTGTGCGTTCTATCCGAACCTTCGAGGCCGGCGACGTTCCGTACCCCTACCATTCTTAGTTATGGAACTTCGGCGACCACCGGTTTCCATCGGCGGTGCTCACCGTAGTTAAACGCCGGCAACTTACCGGTACCTGCTGCCGGCCACCGGCATCATTATGGCTTAGTGCGCGTATACCGGGACCCCTCCGTCGCTGGTCAACGGCGATCGTATAAGTCACGAAAACAAGGACGCTGCATTCCTTAACAATGTTCATTTGATGAGCTATTATTTCTGCTGTGATGATGCGTTTCGTAGTGCTCAAGAGCTACAACATCGACCTGCTTGGCGCCTTCAGCGAACCCTCCCCCCCCCCCCCCCCCCCCCCCCCCCCCCCCCCCCCCTCTCCCCCCCCCCCCCCCCCCCCCTCGCCCCCTCCCCCCCCCCACCCCCACCACTCTTCCGCCCCCGCCCCCCCCCCCCCTCCTTCCCCCCCCCCCCTCGGCCCCCCCCCCCCCCCCCCCCCCCCCCCCCCCCCGACAGTCATGGTCTATCCGTTTGGGCCGTCGCCGGTCTCTATGTAGACCACCTTCATAACACTGGATACAATACAATTTCCCCGCAGCCGGCCATCCGCACATCATCTGTCGTCAAATCGACTCATATAGTACAAGAAAATTGAGTGGTAAAAATACCCAAGGGACAGGGAACTCCTGTACGTTGAAGCAACACCACGATGCATGGTTTCATGTCCGCCTAGTTGAATGGCGCTGTGGCCTGTCCCTCGAGGTCTGGTTCGCCCTGGAGCTCGTAGTATCTCAGATACCTGGCTTCGGCTCGGTATCTTGTTACCTCGTCCAACTCAGGCACAGCAGCTCCGTTTTCTTTTCCGCCAACCTCGTTCTTGGCCAGCAGTGAGATCGAGCCCGGCCTATCAGATTTTGTTAGCATCCGACTCGATTGAGGCAATGGTACAAGGCTTCGCATACCCAAAGATCTCCCGGTCAATGGCAAGGAACTGCTTCATCGCGTCCTTACCGCCCCGCTGCTGTAAGTATGATAGGTAAATCTGATACAGCTCTTTCTTTGTCGAGGCGGACAAACGGCTCTTGCTCCGGAGTTCGTCAAAGATCTGCTTGATGCGGTCGCCGTGCTGATCCTCCAGCTCCGTGCTTGTCGCCTGCTGAAGCTCGAACTCGAGCCACTTGTCCCAAAAGACACGGCTGTCGGCGTACCACTGTACGTTCTTGAGGAAGACGTTGCGAGCTTCTTCCACTGAGCCCTTGACCCTCCATAAGAACAAGGCCCACTCGGTCACCAGAGCTGCCTTGGTAAAGATATCCACTTGAGGCGAATCGATCTGCGCCTTGAAAACCTCAATCGCGGCGTCCAGCCCGCTCTGTCGACGCTGGAGGTGAGCCCATGAGGTGATGGCCTCAATACAGTCGGGCAACTTCATGAGGATGGACTCATGAATGTCGCGAGCTATGTCGATACGTCCACAGCTTTCCTCAAAGTAGGCAAACTGCAGCCTGATGCCGGGCCGACTGATGGGTACAAACATAGTGGCGGCTCTCTGGTAGATGATTCTGACCTCTTCCTCCTTGCCCTCTTGTGCAGACATCCAGCGGGCGTAGCGGAACCAGAATTCGTCGTAGAAGGCGCATGTCACCAAGCATCGCTCATAAAGAAAGACGATGCGGGTAGTGTTTCCCTCGGACTCTTCAAAATCAAGGTACTTGCGCCAGTTGGTGAGCTGCGAGCTCTCAAGCTCGGTAACATGGAAGTAAGGGCGCTTCATTTCGGATTCGTAGGTCCATCGCTTGTTGGTCTCGGACTGCGTCTGGGTAAAGTACTCATAGTACATGGCGTCAATCTTGGTGCGCACGTCGCGTTCAACCTCGAGCTCCGTTCGCTGCGCACCGGCATACTGGGCACTCTCAGCCTCCACCTCGGCCTGGAATCTCTGCAGCGTCTCAGCCGGAACCAGCTCGGTGACGGGGCGGCTGTGGGAGAGCTGGCGGAATCGTTCAAAGTAACGAGCATACTGGTGCATCGGAATGTGGATGACTCGAGACAGGATGGCGAAGATTTTGTCTTGGGCCTCCTGTCGCTCCTCGTACTCTATGTACTTATCCCAGAACGGATGTGCGAGGAAGTCAAGGCCGACACAGGTTGCGCCGCGTTCAAAGAGCCTGGAGCGAATGGTCAGTACACAGCCAAGGGCGCAGGGACAGGGGATGAAGAGGGGGATGGGAGGCGTGCTATACAGGAGGGGGTATCAAGTGAAATCAACTAGCGAATCCAAGCCCAAAGTAAGGCATTCCAATGAGAGCGATGTGGTGGTGGTGGTGTGAATGCGACGTGGAGCGGACAACGGATCAGTCATCGTCAAGTGGAAATCAGCAGAGCCTGGTAACTACTAGCGTGAGAGGGCATCCCAACAATGGGGCTGCTGTTGGCATTTCTCACCGACGGATACTTGAAAGGCAAATGGATGGAGTCCATGTATGGCTCGATCGATGCGCCGAGCGGCCGGTGAGGCATGCTGTGGTGATGGTGATGTTAAGGGGGAAGGAAAGCCGGCCATCAACTACTTACTCTCTGACGAGGTGTGGGACGTGTGTGGTCTCCATTTTGAAGGAGCAGTAGTCGGTCCACAAGTCGACAGAATTGGTGATGCTGGCGCATCCTCGCTCGTAGACCTAGAGAGAAGCGCAACGTCAGTCGCGGCCGGGAGCCAAGGGATGCAATGCGATGCGATGCGACGCGATGCGACACGAAACCGACTAACCATCTCTGCTGACTCGGGTCCAGCAATGTTGAACTCGAGGTCCGCGTACTTCTTCCAGTAGCCAAAGAGCAGAGGGAATTTGAGGAGGAAGCGATCGTAGGCATCTCGAAGAGTAGCAAGGGCCTGGGGGCTGGAGTTGCGGTTCAGGCCGCCCTCCAGACCCTCGCAGGCGCGAACCAGCTTCTCCCAAGTTTCGAAGTTATCGGGATCAACTTCCTGTGGGCGCGTATTCAGATTAGCATCTTTTTCGATTGATTTTGATATCAGGTGCGACATAGTTGGTGTCGCAGTTCACGTACCACATCGGCCTGGAGCTTCTTGATCTCGGCGCTCTCCTCCTCGGAGCTCCCAAAGTGGTCGTAATCAGACATGACGGGCGGAGATTTCAGATAACGAACGGCGGAATGACTGAGTTTCCAGGAAAAAGTCGGCGAGGCGCGGGACTGCGAAGGGCTGCAGCAGGGAGCAGGAAGGGATTGTAGATGGTGGAGTGAGGGCGCCGCGGATCTCGAGGCTGTTTGGTGGCCGTTGCAATCGTGGGTGACCGGGTCGAGCTTCGAGGTCGCGGATGGAAGGGGGGCTGGAAATTTTATGAACGGGCATTAAAGGTACGGATTGCCCGCAGGCAGGCAAGTATCTCTGCATGCAATTGGGGGAAATGGGGCTGAGGCAGGGTAAATGGCCTTGGAGACCGGAGGGACTTGTCTTTTTGGCGCCATGGCACCCAGAAGTAATGTACCTTGACAGGTGAACCCTTGCTCTCCGTGCTTTATCAGTGACGCGCGGAAGCGAATCAGATCGGCCAACAGCCTGAAGAGATCAGGCGGTCGGCAGTCCACAACTGAGCCGCTTCCATCAGCTCTCCAGACTCTTGGAGTTTAGCCAGGCACGTCCCGACTCTACATATTTGCAGCAAAGTCTACCACTCCTTGTTCTGCATTCTGTTCTACATGGGTTGGTACACTGGATGGTATCATGGTGTATCTGCAATCTGTGTGTGCTTTGCCCGGATCGATTGAAGGCGGCATCATCCTATCATCTAAGCTTCTTGCCACTCTGCTTATATCGCATGGCACTTCCAGAATCTGATCTAGAATCCGGAACGGAGCCGACAAACCAGAGTGGAGCAGGTTGTATCCGTCGTCTGGTCGTTTACCCCCTAGGGCGGAAGTCGTGAGTTTTCCCAGGTGGCCATCTTCGGCGGGCTAACTTAGGTAAGCAACCGGCAGCCAGTGGATCCTATTTGACGTCCGATATTCATGAAAAACCTTTCCTTTCTCTTTTTCCTCTTTTTCACAATAAGGCTCGTGATGATTACCATACAATACATGATAGGAAGAGAATGACTGACCACCCAAGGTGGCAGCGTGATCTCAATTTACATATCTGAAGCCTGCTTTGCCTCAAAGCATTGACATTATTATTCTTTCTGGCGCCCGCAGGGCATTTCCCAAACCCCAGGGCTGGCATCCTTTCCGCGTCTCATCTTTACATCTTTTCCCCCCTTTCCGCTCGTTTCCCCCATAAGCATATTCTTGGTGTCGTATCTAATCAGACACATTGTTCCTACCCGTGATCAATCCTGAAGCGAAGAAAAGGGTTGTCCCCTGGCATTCGTCCCCCTATTATAGCTTATCACCTGCCTAAGTTGTGTTTTCTCCGAACTCGTACCTGATGGGTTGAGCGCACACGTCTCGTCATAGCAGGCGGCAGACCATCCAGCTGATTTTGGGATAGAAAAGACAGCATCGTAATCAGTCGCCAGCGCTGCGAGGGTTTCTACATAGTAGCAGTGCTCAGTTTCGACTGCAAGCATTCAGCAAACCTGAAAAATTCGGGTCCAATCCAGTGTGGTAGTCGTGACCAAAAATTGTTTCCGAGAGAAACGTCAGATAGTACCCTTCTTCAAATGTCAGGTCAAACACGCATGGACTGAATCCAAGTCCATAGTACTTTTTCAGCATGAAGGTGTACAGCTGGAGAGGAGGGTGTGGAGCACAGTCCTCCCACGCCTCCTCACCACCGAGAAACAAATACCGATCTCGCAGAGTTACCGCTATGTCGAAACCATGGCAAGCGAAGGGGTTGCCGTCCTGTGCACTCTCTGAGGATGAGGCCTGTAATTGAGTCGCTACCAGTCGAGTACGATGCATGTCCTCGATGTTGATAGGCATCGATACCTCTTCCAATTGAAACTCCCCAAACAGAACAACTGTCACTTTACGCGTGGGAGGCAGGTCAGAAGCAGTTGAGTTCTTGAACGGCGGCCTGCCATGGCGATGCTTTCCACCGGCGTTAAAGAACTGGGGTGAGTGATACTCGTGGGCATAGATGGAAGCCATCACCTCCCATGGTGCTTCGGCGGCACAGGCCGGGTCTGGGATAAGGGCGATGTCTTCTATCAAGTAACGAGCAATATGCCCGAATACCTGTTCTTGGCTGGCTGGTGTCATCTTGTGAACGTCGTACACCGGAAACTCTGCAATGTATGCCTGGCTGTCGTCCGAAAGACCTTGCCAATCTCCGCGAGCTTGCAGTGATCGAAGCTCCTCGAGAAAGCGTTTCCCAGCCCCGTCTGCGGCAGCTTTGATGAATAGCTCATTGTGGGACTTCCATAAGAAAGCGCCAGCGAGAAGGTTTTTGTATAGCACTCGATGGAATTTTTCTTGGAAATCGTGAAAACGTTGATCGAATACGGTGTCGTCTTTGGTACACCAGGTGACATCTTTGATCTCGGGGCATAATACACATGTATACCCGTGTTCCTCAAAGTGAAAGTACGCGTACTCCAGACACGCAGCCAGATGACAGAACGCAAGTAAGTCCGCCAACTCGGGCAAACGGCACTTTTGGTGAGAGGGCTCCAGCTCTTCGATATCATCATGCGTCATATTAGGTGGTAGCCGGCCGGCGTGGAAGGCTTCTTTGACTGTATTTGTGGCGCGCACCTACGCAGTTGAAGTGAGTGATGGCGAGGCCTGTCGACGTTTGGGGAAGCAGATACTTACGGCAACGACAGCATGTTCGTACGCGGGGATTGTTCGCGTGCCAATGCTATGGATGATGCTCGCGCCATGGTCCAACCACACTGCGTAAGTATACTGACAGGAGCTGGCAAGAGCGAACGCGTCATTGAAGCTGTCACAGCTGGCCAACACCCGGGCGATGATTTCTGGGGGGTATGAGGTGAACAATTCCATTGTCACGTGAATTAAGAAACTCAGGTAGCGGAAGAAGGAGAGGAAGGAGAGAAGCTGCAGGCAACAATAAGTAAACGCTTGCAAGTTGAGAGACAGGATAATCGACAGTGGAGGTCAAAGTACTCGAGGTACCTTAATAAGGCGGGTACTGATTCCCGACCTCACCTTGCCTACCTATACCTTACCCTACGTTACCCAGATACCTACTCTATAGTACCAACGGCGCGGGTCCACATTTATCATAGAAGCTCTCACCTCATCATTCTGAGAATCGAGCTGCATAGGTCGAGCCATCGCCAGCGTAAAATTGCAATTTATGACCATAAAGCTAGGGACAATTTGTCTGCGGGTGAGCATGATTATGAATACACTGCAAGATGACTCGACTGCTCTAACACTTCTCCATAGGGTGGACAGGGTTCATCGCATGTCTACGTAGTAGTTTAGCTTGCTGCTTTGTCTTTTGAGGGAACCTTGTACTGTTCCCAAGAGCTGCCTCATCCATGTTAAGGTACGGAGTAGCTGAAGTAGGTATTCGCAGAGTTGAGACAACACCAGACCATACCTATCCCTGCCTTGGAACAAGCACAAGCCGGCTGCTTCCTTCCAGGCTCCCAGATGGCGACAAGGCAAGGTGGCCCGTGAGGCTGAAACCACCTGGAAGGAAGCGAGCTGCCTCCTACTTGCCTGGCCAGTCGGAGCTTAAGGTAGGCGCTAAACGTACAGCGGTCCTATGCCCCTGGTTACCTCCGCCGGGACGGACGTCATTGTCGGGCTCCGTGTTGGCGACCCAAATTCCGCTATTGTCAGCCGCGACATTTTGCCAAACGCCATAAACCTTTGGGGGCTGTCAAGCCATACTACCTCAAGCTCCAACTTCGCATCAACAAAACGACGACATTCCGCACCGATAGTCCCCTTCTCGCACGTTAACATCATCGACCTTGACTTCACTGGCCCGCCGACGACGGCGCCCTTCGATGAACCACCGAACTCGTCCAAGCATGCCCTGCGACGCCTGTGCTTCCCCGAACCTGTCAGCAACACCTCCGAACGATCATGGATTACTCCAGCTCTGGGACTTGGCCTTCTCAGGTGCCGGCACCAGAAAAGTCTAGCCAGCTGTACATTCGGGACTACCCCCATCGCTCCATTGCAATAGTTTCGTCCTCCCATGCTCTCATATTTCGCTATAGCTCCTCGAGCGCCGGCGCAAACGGCTCCCTTACCTCCCTCGCATCCACCCGTTCACGACCCAATGGCGACCCTGCTGCGTCGAAATGCATGGTCGAGTTTACTCAGATCACAAAAAAGACGCTTGCCGAATACCGACCGCTGACCCCACGACCCATCTTTGGAACGTTGGGTTTGATTTCTGTCGAGGGCGACGTGTTCCTTTCCGTTGTGACACATGCCACAAGAGTCGCTACCCTTAGGCCGGGGGAGACCGTGGAACGGATTGCGAGCGTTGCATTCTTCTGCCTCAACAGAAGCGAGTGGGACGATGTTGTCTCTCTCGATCCTCTAGATTCCGAGGTCTCGGATGCCAACTCTGTGTATGGCCAGAACCTCAGAGGGCGGGAGCTTCAGGTGGAACATCCTTGTACGGACCTTCGGAAACTTCTGGGAAATGGAACATTCTACTACAGCACCGACTTCGATCTCACCAATAGGTTGCAAGATAGGTATGGTCGTGTCCAGTTCCGGCTATAATGCGTCGCTGACCATGTAGGACCGTGAATTCTTATACTTTTGACATTGACAACTTTGACGATTCCTTCCTGTGGAACTCGTACATGATCAGCCCATTGGTCCAGTTTAGGTCTCGACTGCAGCCCCAGGAGCGCGAAGCTTTGGATTCATCACGATTCCTCACATCTGCTATCCGTGGGTTCTGTCGGACAATGGCCATCCCCCAGACGAGTGCTCCTCTCAAAACGCGATCAACCGGGCTACCATCGTACCTGACCGTTGTATCAAGACTCTCTTGTCGCAGAGCAGGAACCCGGTTCAACTCCAGAGGTATTGACGATGACGGCAACGTGGCAAACTTTGTCGAGACAGAAACCATATACTGGAGCCCCGGCGGGACTCTCTTTTCCTATGCTCAAGTCAGAGGTTCAGTTCCACTATTTTGGGAACAGACTGCGGAGCTCATCCCTGGCAAGCAAAACATTACCGTTATCAGGTCCCCCGAGGGAGCCCAGCCGGCCTTCAATAAACACTTTGCGGACCTGGAGCAAGCCTACGGCGCCGTTCACGTGGTCAATCTTCTGAGTGAAGGCAAACCTGGCGAGGCGCAGCTCAGTCAGTTGTACCATCTCGGTGTAGAACATTGTCCATTAAGCCAGGTTGGGGAGCACGAGTCGCAAGACCATGCGCTGTTGAGAGAGACCCACTACGACTTCCACGCCGAGACGAAAGGCCCCGGAGGGTACGAGGCTGCGCGCCAGATCCGCAGATACATTGAGAACTCGATAGACGGCTTCGCCTACTACTTGGCGGAGCAGAATGAAGATCTAGGCGCTGAGGCCAACGACGGTCAAGGCTCAAGCCGTATGGTAGTGGTTCTCCAGCAAGAGGGCGTGTTCCGAACAAACTGTCTCGACTGTCTGGATAGGACAAACTTGATCCAGACCCTCATCTCTCAGATGGCTACAGAGGCTTTCCTGGGCCATCGAGGCGAGTACGCCACCTCGGATTTTTGGATGCGGCACTCAACCTTGTGGGCAGACAACGGAGACGCTCTTTCGAAGATCTACGCGGGAACTGGTGCACTCAAATCGTCCTTTACCCGTTCTGGAAAAATGTCCCTGGCTGGAGCTGTTGCAGACATGCGCAAATCTGTGCAGCGTCTCTATCACAATAATTTCACAGATTCGGCTAGGCAAACGACTATTGACCGGCTGCTGGGAAGGCTGGTCAACCAACTGCCCGTTCTTCTTTTCGACCCTATAAGTGATTACGTTTCTGGAGAATTAACAAAGAGAAGCGCTGAGTTCTCGTCCACACAGGACATAAGCATGTAAGAATTCTGTGCGCACCCTTGGCTCTCATGCTTACCCGCGTAGGTTGGTCGGTACTTTCAACCTTAACGGTCGTACTGAAGGCGTCGATAGCGATCTTGATGCATGGTTGTCTCCAGCAGAACTTGGCAATGTGCAGCCCGAAATAGTTGCTGTTGGATTCCAAGAGATTGTCGAGTTGAGCCCACAACAAATCATGAACAGCGACCCCTCAAGGAAACAACTTTGGGAAGCTGCAGTCAGAAGATGCCTCAATAAACGCGCCAAGTCGCTTGATGGAGAGAGATACGTATTGCTCCGGAGTGGACAACTCGTCGGCGCGGCATTATGCATTTTTGTCAAGGCATCGGCCTTGGCCAACATTAAGAATGTTGAGGGAAGCGTAAAGAAAACGGGGCTATCGGGAATGGCCGGCAACAAAGGAGCGGTTGCCATACGATTTGACTACGCGAATACCCATATCTGCTTCGTGACAGCCCATTTGGCTGCCGGATTTTCGAATTATGACGAGAGAAATAGAGATTACGCAACGATTCACCACGGGCTACGCTTTCAGCGAAACCGTGGGATCGATGATCACGGTAGCTATATTCATCCCGAAGGCCTATATCACCCATGAGCTTAGAGCTGACCTTGGAGCAGATGCCGTTGTTTGGCTGGGAGACTTCAACTACAGAATTGGCCTCAGTTCTGAGAACGCCCGCAGTCTAATCAAAAAGGGCGATCTAGAGACACTTTACGAGAACGATCAGGTGAGTAGATAATATCCGCCCGTGTTCCCCATCAACATGCTGACTTCTTGGTAGTTGAACCTTCAAATGATCGCAGGACTTGCGTTTCCCTTTTATTCAGAGGCCCGTATCAATTTCCTGCCTACATACAAGTTCGATCTTGGCACGGACAATTATGATACTTCGTACGTTCAAAAGGTCGATATATCTGAGAATGTAAAAACTGATCCCTCACAGCGAGAAAGCCCGTATCCCAGCCTGGACCGATCGCATTCTGCGCAAGGGTGGGAGCCTGCGTCAACTAGCGTACAACTCAGCTCCTCTCAAGTTCTCGGATCACCGGCCAGTGTACGCTCTATTCCAGTGCAACGTCAGTATTGTCGATGAAGCTTTCCGAGATCAAATCAGCAAAGAGCTATACCAACGGCGAAAGGCCGAAGTTGGAGACACGACGGCAAATCTGGACTCAGAGGAAACCGACGATGAGGATCTGATTGGCTATGAAGCCATCGAGCCTGGGCTGCCTCCTGCCAGCTCCGACCGCCAGAAATGGTGGTTGGAGAACAAGCAGCAGGCCAGAGTTGACATCAAGCAACCGACGGCTCCCGAGGGCCATGCCGCAATACTCAACCCTAACAGGGCGCCCAATCCTTTCACGCCGACTGGAGAGCCTGACTGGGTCAACGTACCCAGGTCAAGATTGTCGTCTTTCTCCAGCGTATCAACTTCGCCATACGAGCACGTTTCTGCGCCCAATGATCTATCGTCGTCGGCAACGAACCGGATAACCAGGAAGCTGCCTCCGCCTTTTGATCCGTCAGGCATGCCAGGAAAATTTAACGGCCTCAGCATCAAAGATGAAAAGTCGCAACGCGGAGAAACGCCTCCTCCGCCACCGCCGCCTAGAAGACAGACGGGAGCAAGCGCAGCAATCCAGCACCCACCACTGATACCCTCCAATAAATCGCGAAATACGACAACAACGCCTCCTCCTCCGCGACCGTCATCCGCCATTTCCCAGCTTTCGCAGGTGTCGTCACAATCCAAATCCAAACCGGCACCACCTGTGGCGAAGAAGCCGGCACACCTGGTTACAGCACCGGCTGCAGCATCTTCAGCTCTGAGTAGCAATGGGATGGGTCAGTATAGAGATGAGCCGGAAGAAAAACCACCACTGCCTGTCCGAGCCTCGACAGGCTTCACGAATCTGGGTGCGAGTAGGGAGGGCACTCTCCGTAAGCCAGTAGGTACGCCGGCTAAGCCTCCCAAGCGAGCGGGGACCATGACTATTGAGTCCGGGAGGCACACTCCGATGGCTGGGGCCGTCGCTCTACCGGGAATGAGGGCTGGTGAGGAACGACCAAAGCCAAAGATCCCGGCAAAGAAGAAGGCGCCGGTAGACTTGCTAGACTCACTGGGTGACGATGGACCCAGCGACATGGGAAGCTGGGAGACGTTGGTTCCCAGCTCTCAGAGATGACGGGATCGGTTCTCAAGTCTTTCATGACGAAGTTATGGACAAGCTAGCGGGTGATGCTAGAAGCAAAAACGGCGATACTGCCTTTGATGATTGATGTGAATAGGCAATAGCATTGAGCTGACTCGGGCGGGCTCACATTGCTACGGCGCTGTAGTGGATGATTAGACGGAGTGAAGCATACAAAAAGCAAATGTCAATCAAAATGGCTTGAAAACGCAATTACCGTGTTCCACGAACCCACTGGCGTTTTCCACTGTTTTACTCAGTATTGTTTGTCATAGAGCGGAGAGGTTACAATACCTCTTAGACTGAGAGGACCGCCTATGCCCCGCCTGGGAGGCTGGCTGTAAGTAATTCTAGAAGCCGGTTGGTATGAGTGAGCCGGGGAGTAGGTGGCGACGCCCGAACGCCAATCGGCTTCCATACCACAGCCACCCACATCACAACGCCATTCCAAGAAAATGTGTTCTTTCAGTTTTCACCTTGATCGCAAAGCGGCCTCACCGAATCTGGACGGATGGTCCCTGGAGTTCAGCACTGGCAGGGGGGAAGAGGAGAGCTGATACCCTTATTTTGTGTAACCCCCCAGTTCTATCCGTTGCATGGTCTCTCTCCCGCCCCGCTGCAAGTCGTCTGGGGGTTGTCTACCAACGATACATCCCTACGGAGGTCCAATCCTCACGATCGCAATGTCCGTAATGACTGAGACACTTCACCGCTTTCTTGAGGTCCAGAAGGATGAAGTCAGGGGTCTTTCTGAGCGTGCGTGCGTCTTCAGGAGTTCATTGACATCTGACAGCGGCACCGTCCAAGCACGAAGGCACCGCCCTAGTCCAAGTCCAAGTCACGCCCCTCGGGCGCCACAGCGAACAGCGAACAGGGGGGCTGCTGGTTGAGACTGGAGAGGGAGAGGAGGGGGGATGTTCGAGCTGTCGGTCTCTGACTCTCTCAACCTCTTCCCCCTTAGCTTGTGTGACTTGACAGAGGAGGGGGACGGAGGGGGGAGAGACCGAGAGAGAGATCACCCATGGAATTGTACCACGAAGACGAAGTGTCACCGCACGCGCCGCGCCGCCTTCGTGATGTCGGTTGTCCGCCATGGACCGCTTCCGGGTGTGACGTGGTAACTCACTCAAATAACCCACGCGGGAAGACCCTTCTCTCCAAGACTCCAACAGCGTGATACCTAGGTGGACGATCAGAGATAGAGAGATTGGCAAGCATAAAAACAAAAACAAGAACAAGAACAAGGAATCGACTACGATCGACCCTGTCACTGCCAGTTTCCATGGACCATCTGACAACACCATCTTGCTCTCCTGGTGCGGCACCCGGCAGTGGTCAATGGTCATACTGGACTGGGCCTGCCGATCGTGGGGCAGACGAGGCCCGAACCAGGCAAACGTCGCCAAGGGAAGCCCACCCAAATTACCTCCATACGCAGGTAGAGGCAGTTGGTGGCATTGTCGTGCATGCCTAGTTTGATAGAAGCACCAAAGCAAGAGAGAACCGGTTCCCTTCGAAACGCTCGACACTGCCTTTGCCTTTTGTTCCACCAAGGGACATCTAACCGCGCAAGTCTTGTTTTTCTCTTTCGTTTCCTAAGCGGCGTACGAGCCGGTCTGCTTCATCTTCCGGCTCGTCTCCATCCCGTCCCATCTTCCTAACCCTCTCTTTTCTTCGTTCGTTCGTTCGTTCGTTTCTTTCTTCCTTTCTTTCTTCACAACCTAAAATCGCTTCCACCCCCATCCTCTCGTCCACCGGCATAGCACGCTACAGTCTGCACACCCCTTCTGCCCAGGCACACGCATCCAAGCTTTTCTCAACTGTCCTGCAGATTGTATCGGTGCTACCTTACCCCTACCTGCTGGGCTGCTGTCGCTCCGTCTGTTCGTATGTGCTTTTAATACCAAAGTCACCTGTCGGAACTTACCTTGCCTGCCCCTCTCTTTTCTTCCACCAGACCTTTTTTAGTTTGCAAGGGCCGAACGCCAGACGAACGGACGGACGCTTGTCGCGACGAACGACCTCGAACGAACGAACCCCACCCGCTTCGTTCCCTACCCGTTTGTCGTTCGTCTCCTAGTTGCTGGCTGCCGCTACCTACTCCTCTTCAAGGGGGTTTGTTTTGTTTCCTTTTCATGAGACGCTTTGCAGCAACGTACATCCCCTACTAAGACGCATGGCTTCGACCATACGGATCTTGCTTTCCGAACTCTCCTATCACGCAAACCAACGCTCCTCAGCTTGATACCAACTTGGTTGGCTCTATTACCAAAACACCCTAACCTAAACATAATCACAAGCCCACCGCCGTCGACCACAACTCCTGGCTGTTCCATTTGATATCTTTTCTTCTTCCGAACGTGCTTCCATCACCGCCGCTGCTACTGGGATTTCATTTCTTATTCTCATCCCTAACCTGACTTGAACCCCCGCCCAACCTACCACCTTTCAATTTAATTGCTCTTTTGTTTTTGTTTCATACGCCCGGGGGCGTTCACTCTCCCGCTAAGACCTGCGTACCACCCAAAAGAGAAGACTGGATGGCAAGAAGAGGCTTGACTCGTCCATCCATCGTCTTGTATTCTTGCTCTCGTTTGCCGCTGTTCTGAACAAGCCAAGGAAGTGAGAGAGCGGGAAATACTCGACTTCCCCCTACCATCTCTACCTGCCCATCTTCGTACACATCTTGACAACTCCCGACCTGATTCAAGTCATCTGGTCACCGGCCACACCTACTTGCCTCACAAAACAAGCACCAACACCCGCACACCCGCACATGCACACACGCATACACCGCCCATCTTATCTTCGAATCCGGGGTTGGCGCCGACTTAATCACACTTGGAGTGTACCTTACACACACGACGGAAGAGCACATGAACGGGACGTTAGAGACCATCTACCGAGCAGAGACAGCCTTGCATAACACCCGAACAGGTCTCGTGTTACCTACGCATTATTAGACGGCCACCAACTTTGTCACTCTAATATCCTCCTTTTCTTTTAACATCCTCGTCTCTCCTCCCATCTTACACCTTTTCCTGTCTGTTTTGCCTCGGACGATATCATCAAAACGGACGGACCTTGTCAGTACCTGTTCTCAACGTTCAACACCTAATTTTCTCTCTCACCTGTATGTTTTGGGCTTCTGTCACGTAGAGCGCAGACCTTCTCGAAGACACTCCCCTACCGACATTTTCTGCTTTCGGTCTTGGCTTGAGCATCATCTTCATTCCAAGATCAGCAACCGAGACCCTCAATCCCCGTTACGACGAACAAACCGCGAACGGCCACTGGATGGGTCCTTGGCCACACAATACTTCATAGGAGGAATCGGTCACCAACACCCGCTGCATACTCACAAATCGAAGCACACTGTTCGACTTGAGCAAATATCAACCTACCATATACCCGGACCAACATCCAAGGAGGGGAAAAAAGCGTACAAAATGTCCAATCCAACTCTCTCAAAGCAACAGCGCATCCAAGTCTGGCGTGAAGAGGTAGCGGCCTCAGCATCCCTTTGCACATGCCCGCCCTCCTCCCCAGCGGCCTCCGCCTCCTCAACAAACATTTCCCTCTCCGCGGCCTCCTCCTCGGCGTCCTCATCTGCATCCTCTCCGGGAGCAGGTGACGCCTTCACCTTCCCCCGTAGCGACATCTTGCCGGGGCAAGGAACATACTGCCCAACATGCTCCCGCCTCGGCGCCCCGTCCGCTATGGGTCTGGAGCCCTCGTCCGCCTACCTTGACCAGACGCAACCCGGCGCGGTTCTCCCCGGTAACCACATCGCTCCGGGTATCTTCCGCGTAAAGACGGCCAACAACGCACTCTTCCGCGGCATGCGTAATTTTGTCCGCAAGCTCAGCGGGAGCAGGACAAGCGGGCCTATGCCACCCCGCGGCGCCGAGGACGCAACCAAGATGTACCGACGGGCAACTCTAGCCGGCTGGCCCACAGCCACGAATACGGCACTAGCCGCCGAAGCAGCGGCGGCGATGGCGGCAGGGGATGAACCAGACGCCGAAGACGCCGACTGCGCCGTTGACGAGGCGGACTCGGAGGGCCGGGGCCATGTGCCGAAGCTCATCGCCGAGAAGCAAGCGAGGCTCAGGAGGGCCGAGAAGCTGCTTGCGAGGACGAACGCGGGCCGTTAGAAGCGTACATGTACACGATGGAATACGAGAAAAGCAGGTGAACCGGGAAAGACGAGTGTGTGAAACGCATGGGAGTTGCGAATACCATGAGGCGCAGATCGGATTTTCCTCTTGGTTTTTGGTTTCTTGGAAATACGGAGGAGTTCTGGGGTATGGCTTTCTGGGCTGGTAGGCGTTTTTGAAATGTGCCATCCACAGTACATGGTTGTATTCTGGCATGTTCAGGAAATATTACCAGGGAATACCAATTTGCTCATGATTCTACACACCACCTGCCTGTTTTCCCAATGACGTATTAATCTAGTCGTCTGCTTGTCGGTATTTGACAGCCTCGTCACATCGTGGATAGCTCATGATTAGCCGTCCTGTTGCCAGTCATGAGATCTGCAGGTGTGCCCGTCACATGTTCCACAGACCTCCTCTGATCACCTCTCATCCCAAGGCTCCCAAGGCTTCATCATCAAATCACAGCCTATTAGATCACAGCACGGCGTCGGACACATGTATTGATGAACATTTGTTATTTTCTTTTTGGTCTTGTAGACTGAATAGACAGGGGGCATTTGAGGGGGGCAAAAGGACTTTCTCTCCGTGAGAAGACGCGCGACAACTGAAGGACCACTATGAGGAAAACCGAAAAGAGAACACGAGACAGCCGTAAAACCATCCAGCACAGAGGTAAAAGCAGGAATCGAGGAGAACAAAAGAAGAGATTCTGAGCGTAGGCGGATATAGAGGGGGGAATCAGTAGTTGGTTGCCAAGTGGAATCCCTGAACAGAAAAGAAGCTGTTCTAGACCCTGGTTGGACATCCAAGACACCAATAGAAATCATGCCACGCATTGTTCCTCTCTCCGCGTCCAATCCTCAAAAACCCCTCCCCTTTTGCTGCGAGACTCGGAGCGAGTCACCGATATTAGCCACCGATTTGGCGGCTAGACTGGGGCCGTCAGAAGGTCCGCATTTAGCGCATACCGACGGCCGAGCAGACGAGCCATCTCAGCCTCGTCGCGAGCCGAGATGGAGTGGTATCAGGGTAAGACAAGAATTTAGGAGGCAGCGGGGGTCTCCTCGGTGGCCTTGGGCTCCTCGGCCTTGGGCTCCTCCTTCTTCTCCTCAGCAGCCTCGGTGGTGCCGGCAGCAGCACCCTCAGCGTCGCCGCTGTCGGAAGAGGTCCAGAGAGTGAGGTTGTCACGCAGGAGCTGCATGATGAGGGTGCTGTCGCGGTAAGACTCCTCGGAGAGAGAGTCGAGCTCGGCGATAGCATCGTCGAAGGCCTGCTTGGCGAGGTGGCAAGCACGGTCGGGCGAGTTCAGGATCTCGTAGTAGAAGACGGAGAAGTTGAGGGCCAGGCCAAGACGGATGGGGTGAGTGGGGGTCAGCTCGGTCTGAGCGACATCGGTAGCGCTCTAAAGGAGAGAGGGTCGTATTGTCAGATTCCATGTTCTCTGATACGGCAGCATTCAACCCGGATCATTCTCACCTTGTAGGCGTCGTGGGCAGCAGTGGCAGCACCCTTGCGCTTCTCGCCGGAGGCGAACTCAGCGAGGTAGCGGTGGTAGTCACCCTTCCTATTTCACGGAGTGCCACGGTTAGTTTCGGAAATTGGGCCTTTGATCAAAACCGCCGGCAGCGGCGGCGACGGCGTCGGATAACGTACATCTTGTGGTAAAAGACCTTGGACTCGCCAGTCTGGGCGTTGGGGATAAGGCTGTCGTCGAGGACATCGAGGACATCCTGGCAGACCTGCTCGAGCTCGAGCTCGATCTTGGTGCGGTACTCGCGGATGGTGCCGACGTGCTTGTCGGTGCCCTTGCTCTCCTCCTTCTGCTCAATGGAGGAGATGATGCGCCAGGAGGCACGGCGGGTACCGACGACGTTCTTGTAGGCAACGCTGAGGAGGTTGCGCTCATCGACGCTCAGCTCACCGCCCAGCTTGGCGACCTCCTTCATGTAGCCAACCATCTCATCGTAGCGCTCGGCCTGCTCGCAAAGGCGGGCGAGGAAGGTCTTGCTGTAAGGAAAGGGTCAGTCAGAGAAAGAAAAAGTTCGCGAAAGACCTCGAGGCCAGATGGTTGTGGTTGATGGGACGTAGTCAATCGACGTCGAAGAGGGCTCGGCACAAACCTTTCACGCTAGAAGAGGGGCACAAGTCAGCATACTTTGTTCCCGAGGCGGGCGATAGGAGGCATGAGTTATTTGAAAGGGGAGAAAGAAGGCCGCCGGGGTCGGAGAAGCCGGTCGAGGCAAAAATGGCATCAATCGCAGGATTCAGAGCTGTGGATCAAGGATCGCATTATGGGCATCTTCGTTGCCGTGACACAGGCAGGCAGGGCAATCGAGGGGCTCCGGAGGGGTTTTGGGGTGAGGTTGTGTTGGGCAGCGTGGGGGAAAAGGTACTTACATCGCCAGACATGTTGAACTCTTGGATTGAGGTGATGAGGATAGGTTGAGGTGGTTTGGTAGAAAATTACAGAAGGCGGGAATGGATACTGCGAAAGGCGTGCAACGGAGTGGTGAGAAAGTTGACGCGGCTTTGTTTTGTTGTTGAAGAGTGGAAAAAGGTGTGCGGTGGGAGAAGGAGGGAAGGCGGAGGGAGTGTTTACGTGTGACGAATTATTTTGGGAGAGGGGGGGAATCTCAAAGGGAAGTTGCGAGGCCAGTCCAGTGAAGATTTAATTGGGTTGGTCCAAGTCCCAAGTCCCAAGGTCGTTCTTTCCCTCCCAGTCTTCCACCAAAGGTACCTGCCTACCTACCCGACTACCTTACCTTAGCTAAGGTAGCCTTAGGGAGGTGCCGCCCATTCACCCCCTCCACCTGCGCACGTTGGGGTCACCTCTTTGGTACCTTACCCTCATATTTCTGCTGCTTGCACTTGAGCTCACATTGCTCTGTCTCGGTAAGGCAAGGGACATGAAGTCCTTGGGTTCCATAGCACCAAATATTGCAATTCCTATCTGAGAATAAGGTATATGGTTTCAATCTTCATCCACCTTGTTCTCTCGATACAGTGTAGGCACCTCCATTGCAGTGCCCTTCTCTGTGCTGTAATTAGTCGACTGAGCTTGCCTGCCCTGTGCCTGCTGGCTGCACCTGCCGCTTCGACCCCACTATGTTCCCTTTTCTCCCCTCCCCTCGCTTGCCTGCGGCTTGGCCCTTCTGCGTTGGCCTGTGCTGGGAGAGAAGAACCCTGGAATTGGATTGGAATGGACGGATCGAGTGAATTGGATATTGCTGTGGACGTGGTCAGGCTCTCGGGGCTCGGGGACTCTGGCAAATGGGCCCCCAGGGCATGGGCGTGTTCCCATTTGGCGGGAAGGGAAGAGAAATGGGGGCGCTGGGCTGGGCTAGGCTCTCCATCATCATTATTTTAGGCCCCAAGATACTTCGCCTTGCGTGCCTCGGACAGTTGAGAAAGCACCATCTGGCCCAAGGTACCAAGGACTGGTGAATGGACTATGCCCATGTGGCGAGGCAGTGAAAGCGGTTTTCTGCTATCGTTCCCCTAATTATCATCACCCTATCTTTGCATTCGTTGCAATCTGTACTGTATATTCAAAGTACCAGGGCTTCACATACGTATTGTGAGTGAACGGGAGACCATCAGAGAGACAGGAAACGGACGGGAAAGTCAACCTGAGTTCCATTTGCATGTGGTGAGGTCCGCGTTTCTGGTGGAGAGCGGCCCTGAGATTAGCCTGCCCACCGAGCCCATCAAAGGCATGATTCCGCTTCCAAAGAACCAGGCTCATGATGTATCTCCCTGGTCCACAACTGACGTCCATCCGGTTGGCCTGGGCCGTGTATGTACCGCAGAAGTACTCCCAGAGTTCGTACCTCGACGCTTGAACAGCAACTCGAGCGAACAACTGCTTTCTGATAACAACGAGTCTCTTAACATCCTTGGAATATCACTTGCTTCATGGTTGAAAGTAGTATTCAAAGAGCCCGAAACCGTCCCTTCCGGGCTATTGGCAAATTACCGATGGGATGGATCAGTTGCCCATTTGAGCTTCAGAGCTATCTTGAGGCCGCTCAGGTAGGAATGGGAATCTTGATGGAAATTAGCAACACAATGACCTCTTCAGGCCAGGAAATTGCACAGTAAAGGCTGGAACAGAAGAAGAAGAAGAAATGAGCTCGCAAATGAGTCTGCCAGAAGGGGGGACTCGGGGAGGGTTCAGGTCGCTCAGATAACTCCGGTGAAGGTCATTTGCTTTTTGGCTTCTTGAATGCGAGCTCCAGCCTCGAAATGCTGCGCGTGTGGTGGGCAGTTGGCCAGCTCAGCACAGCACAGCATAACACAAGCATAGGAACATCCTAAATACTGGCTGCTGACTGGCTGACTTGGTTCTCGGGGCTAGCCCCACCCTCTCCATGCATTTCCCCGCTCCTGTTTTTGCGACACGCCCGCCATGTACGTATCTTCTTCCCTGACCACAACAGCTTTTTATTTTCTTTTTCGGAGTCTCGTGATTCTTTCCTTCTGGTGATACCGTGATTCTCTCCCGTTCCAAGCGCATCCACGCGTGATGGTGTCCGCTGGCCCTTACCTCACCACACACCCTGCAGTCTCTCCATCAACGGACAGCCCGCTCCCCTCAGTTCACCTCTCACCTCCGTCGCTGGATACTTCACTTCAACTTGTTGCCGCTTGCTCTACCCATACGAATACCCAGCACGAGAATGGCGCAACTTCTAGTGCAGCAACACAATTCAACAGGCCACAGGCGCCCAATGCCAGGGTCTGACGGATCTAAGCAAACGATATCTCGTGGCACTCGCTGTTCCAGAACCCCATTTGGATTGGGCCGTGTCTCGAATCAACTACAGTGCTTTTCTGATGGCTTACCTCATCTCGCCGAAATGCTCGAAGACGCGCATCAAATGCCATCCCAAGTTGTCTCAAACTCACATAATCCATACCTAGCTTGTGAGTCGTCCTCAACGACATCTACTATCTAACCGAATTTCTCTCTTTTCGTAGTCTGTTACCCAGTTGCTAAATTGGACTGAATCTCTCGTGGTTGGAGACAAGGGAAATCATCTGACACACAAGATGAAGAGGTAATAAGCGTTATTGCGAGCGTCAAAAGACCCTGGGCACCAGCCCACTGGATTCAGATTGCACACTGGATATTGGAGATTGGAAGTCGAAACGGCGAGTCGGAATCCTACAACGACCTTGTAGCCGTCGACACCAGCTTCTACGCAGCACATTTGATGTCTTGCTTTTGGGCCAATCGTTGTCAGTCATGGTTTCGCTCCACCGTCTCGTTCAACAGTCTGCGTTGCCTCGCAGAACCCGGTGCCTCTTTGCCGAGAGCAGCAGCCACCCGGTCGACTAAGCCACGACCCCCTCCGGTTTACATTGCCGCCTGACCACGATGGTATCTTCTTATTTTGGTCTTCATCTACTCGTGCCATTCACTACAAAATGCTCCGTCTGTGGCTCTCCCTGCGTTGTTGTTGCGCTCGCGCACATGCTTGTCGAGAGCGCTGTGCTGTGTCATGCACGAAACCACCTTGCCCACCCGCTTACGCCCAATCTGCAAAATGTCCGATCGTTCATCAATCTGCTGTCGTGTCTTTCTAACTTAAACCCCAAAGAAACCGGTTTCAACTTCCAACCCAAGGGATGATCCCCCGTTGGATCAGCGTGCCATCCGCCATCCCCGGCTTGTCTCCTCGTAGGCCCAGAGGCCCTGCGAGTGAAACGTGAACCACAGCGACTAATACTGCCATCATAATGTACGGAAACAGCAAACTCACGTCAACCCAACTCCGCCTGCGAGACGAAGCAGTCTTTCTCTATGGCCGAACATAGGTAGATAACTATCACACTCTGAAATCTGGTCCCCCAATCACTCGGCAGCCCTTCTCGTCCCAACTTCGAAGCCAGCCACTGCCACCACACCAACTCGATGCCATCATAGGCAGCTTTCGGGTGGGTGACTCACATCCAGCACAGCCCTGGGGGGGGGGGATCCTCCATGCAGTCGGGTCGAACAGGCGACTCGCATGCGACATGCCCTTGGTCGCCGCCTTATCGCGTGGCACTCTCTGGGCGGGTGCCGTTGGTGGGTGTGGCAGCACTTGCAGGCTGCATCTTAGGTTCTCTCTCGTAGAGAAAATATTCCGCGATCCCCAGTATCCGTACGCGATTTCGACCACGGCCGTGCTTCTTTACCCGTCGGCGTCAAGTTTATGCCACGGCCCCCTTTGCGAGCCATGCTCCCTCCTCGCTGGTGTACGGAGTAGCTGCTTTTCCTTTTACCCCTCATCTCTCGCCCTGGTATCCCTTCCCTTCTCTTTTTGCTCGCTCACCCGCCAAATCCCAAGTGACAATGACATGAATGCCCGAACCCGGAAGTGCGGACAAAATTCATGCGGAGGGCAAGCCAACCTGGTCGTGGAAAACCCGGGAACCCACAACTGTGAGCAACGAACACTGAGCAGTGTGGGAACTGCAGTAGCTGGACTTAAGGGAGAGGAGCCGGTAGCCGTAAGGTTTAATCAAGTAAGCACTCCAAGCCAACAAGGCTCAAGCCAAACCCAAGGATCCAACGAAGCGATCTCTATTACTTACTCAACCGGGGCTGTTCCCGACTTTCGCATAATCTTCAGTCCAACGGTTTATACGTGACCGGCTGTGGCCCTCCTTGAAAGTATTCTATCTAAGTATCTGTGTATAATCCACAGAACGGCGAATTTTTAATAACTTTGAAAAGAACAGTCTCTTTTGGACGTGTTAGAAAGATATATAGCAATGGCCCATATAAAATCAAACAATGTCTGTTGTATCTGCCCCTTGACTCTGATGGCGTGATAAACCACAAACGAACATCATCCACCCAGTAGAATGTAAATCGAGTAATGCCTTTTTTCTCAAGTCATCATGGATGGCTCCGTGGCAGATGCTGATTCGTAAGGTAGATAGATGATGGTGGTCGGCAAAACGACTCAGGCTTTACTGGTTTGTCACGACTCAAAACATATCAGTCGAGAATTATTAAACGTAATATTTCATATTCATGATATGTTCGTGTTTACCGTGCTGCTCAATCTGATTTATGTCCAGGTTACTCAGAAACGAAAGCCAAAGAAAAAAACGCCCGCTAGTTGCCATACAGGCGCTATACAAGTAACCAACCGCAGCATTTTCAGAAACCCCTTCAGCCTAACTAGTACTCGTACCCATACTATCACATTTGAATACACTTGTTATACGACAGCCCGAAGGTTGATTCGGGGCTCACAGCTCTTCTGACAGCAAACTGTCATGGCCACCTCCATATTTGTCTCTCCCCCAATTCGCCGGATCGCCGCCGGGCATACACAGCCCAAGTCTCCAAAAATAGTCCCGGTGCGCAAAGAGCAGCTGCCAAAGCTTCAGTCGAGCCGGGAAGCCCGGTAGCCTCTTGATCCATCTGCTGGTCTCCTCAACGAGTCCCTTTGGCGGTGCCAACGTCGATTTCGCAGCAACTTCGACAAAGTCTTTCAGCCTGGATCCGAAGAAGCTATCGTCCGCCTTCGTGATGCAGCTTCCGTCGCTGTCACCGCGACAGGCCACGACGTCTTCCAGAGACGGAGACAGCTCTGCCTTGGAGATATAGAACTCCCCGGCGTGAGGCTTGTACCCCCACTCTGTAAGTGGGAGCAGCGGCACTGGGTCGTCGGCGTGGGTCACGCGACGGTAGGTCCGCTTCGAGATGTCCTCGTCCTTTTCGCCCTTCAAACCAAAGACCTCGTCGACATAGTCTACAAGACCCTGATTGCCGACCTTGGGCTCACCAAAAGTCGTGACTCTGACATTGTCCCAGCCAAGGGAGATCTTGAGCTCGAGAGATGCGAGCATGGCAACAGCGCCACCGAGACTGTGACCGACCAGGTGAATGGGATAGTCCGGGTATTGCTCCCTCAGCTTCTTCACCTCTGGAATGACTAGCCTCCGCGCCTGGCGCCACGATGTCAGGAAACCCATGTGGACGGTGCAGTCTTTGCACTTGCGTTTGGGCTCATTGGGTGCCTCGCCCCCTTCATCGGGAGATGGATACGGTACATATTCCTGCGGGATGGTGCTTAGGTCGACAATCGTGTTGGAAATACTGTAGGTACCCCGGAAGGCGATGATGATAGCCTTCTCCCCGACCTTGCCATTAAACCTGTCCTCATCGCCAGGCCTTCGAACGCCGTGGTCGACGGCAATGTAGCCGCAGCTGTCGCTCAGCAGGACACCCGTGTTCCAGGTCGAAACGAGCGTGAAGGAGGGAAACTCCTTGCAGCGCGAGACGCACGAGAAGGGCTGCGATATACCCGTGGTGCCGACGCAGTAGGTGATGTCGACTATGCGCGACGTGCGCTCGAGGGATCGGAAGAGCTCGACGGAGATAGGCAACGGGGGTGCAGCATGCTTGGTGTCGTTGCTCGATAGTAACGGTTGCTGCGGCTGCGGCTGCGCGGTGTCAAACGGTGTCGCTGAAGCTAGACCAACCAGTGGCGCAAGCTGTAAGCAGGAGAGGAGATATCGCATTGGAGGGAGCATTCTGTTCCGTTTGGGTTGGCGATCTTGTCTACGTCCCTTTGAAATTGCAGGCTATGATCGATCGCGCAGGCTGATAGACATTGCGCAGAGAAGTGTTTAGTTTGCTCAATGTAAGGTGACCAACCAGGTTGAGCAACGTGGATGGATCCAGCTTGAAGAGAGACAGCGACGTCGGTAGGAATTGGCTGTTGAGGGTTCGGTTTATGATCGTGACGATTTCGACAATGTACCACGTTTAACGGCAGGGAAAGCCTCAAAGCGTGACCCTTCAAAGGCGCATGATGACGATTGCACCCGTGCAGGTTCCTACTAGATTAGGTATCTTGTTGAGACGGATGTGAATGGTGCGTATGTTCAACGATGTACTCGTATTACCTAGGGTACTGAAGGGTGGATGGAGAGAGGAGAGAGTTGGACGGGATACCGACGTCTCAGGGCTGATCTCGTGAGGGTGACCGCGGTGAGGTCATTCCGTCATCCAGAGAGAAACCTGGAGCGAATTGAGGGAAGCGGCAGTGAAGAAGGTGCTAAGCACGGCGTGCCTTCCATGCAAAATGCGGAGAGGCGCGGCCAAGCGACGCTTGCCGACAAACGGTTGGTCCTGAGTGGCCCTCTTCCCCTGTGGCTGCCGGGGAAGGACCTGGGATTGTGCTGTCATCCCCCGCGAAAAGCTGTCAACGGGGCGGGTCTTCTCACCCTCTTGAAGTCCTGCTGACCCTTTGGGACCTGAATGTTGAGAACAAGTGTGGATGACTTCAATTTCCGTCATCTCATGCGCAATGTGGATAGAAGCCTAGGTCTATTGCATATTCTATTCGGGAGTTGTCGTGTCTTCATTACGAATAACTTTCATTTTGCTTTTCCTCTCATCAGGAAAGGTTCTGTTTAGGGCCTACCATCTGTAACTGTAACCCAAGAACCTCTCAGCGTGTGCTCACTCATGTATGTTTCATCATCCATGAACACTGTCATGGCGTCTCTTTTTGTTTGCTTTTTTACGTTCATCCCATGATTACTCTCCTCCGCCCTCTCAACCAACCGGCTGGATGCTGAAGAATCTCGATCGGATGTCGTCCGAGTTGGACTTGCATGCAACGGCTGCCCTCCTTGCACGCCTGTGTGACCTGGCGGCATTGCCCGTCCCGTTCGCGGCACCTCCGTCGCACACCAACGGAACCGCGGCCGTCCCGGAAGCCTCGTAGTCGGCGGCACTGAGCGAAACATGTCAGCACGTGGAACATGGGATTTCTTCACAGCTCTGCGTGTGAAAGAAGAACAGTTAACTTACCCGTCGTCACCAGGGCAAACCTTCTCGATGACTGTGATCGTGCCATTCTGCCAGATGAATTGCACACTAGCGTTGTCGCAAGCGTACCTCGGTGTCCGCCCGTCACCGGACACCGGTACCGATGAGGCGTTGAGGTGGCACTGCGTGTTGAGAACGGTGCTGTCGTCGTTGAAGGTAAAGTCGAGCGAGTCCGCCGTCTTGCCATCCGCTGATTCGGCGGTAAAGTTTTGGATCTGGAAGTCATCGGGTAGGTTGCAGTCTTCTGATGCCTCGACCATGGCCATGAGCTTGTCGGGAACGGCTGACATGTATGAGACCGCGGCCTGTGCCGCGGGGACGGCAATGAGGAGGAGTGACAGCTTCATGGCTTGCGTGTGTTTTGGTTTACGAGCGCGGTATGATCAAGGATTGTAGGTATGCTTTTCTAGACAAAGAGTGCCAACGTTAGAGGAAGAGATAAACGTTCCAACAATTGAGGAGGAAATGGAAAGACTGGAAAGATGGGATGATCAGAGGTCAAGGACTATGCTGATCTAGTAGTCTTGCTGACAGCTGCTTCCCAGATGAACCTTTATTAATAAGGCCCGATTTGAGCACAGGATCACAGACCTAGCAGATCTTCTATGCTGTTCCTTGCAGGAAACCGCTATTCAGGGGTGGCTACGATGACATGGCTAAACTCTCATTAAGGGCGAGAGCAATACGCAGATCCTGATGTAATTGTCCGAGCCGCCCGCGTTAACAGGATGGCTGAGGTGCAGGCGGTTGGCCTCTTAGCTCCATAGTAGGGGAGAAGGGCATTCCCAGCCCGCCATTAAAGATGGACTCCAAGGATACTTTAGTAAAGAACTTACGAGTGACCTTAATGCAGCATATACGAATGGTAGCAGTAGTAGCGGTGATGCGTGGGAGGTTGATGCTCGTCGGTTGGCATTTTTGGTCCTTATTCAGGGGAAGTATTGGACCTGATTGGCTCCTGCGTGTTTCATGTTTCCCAGCATGGCATCCTGCGCTGGTCCACGCCTGGGCTGTTGATCACATCTGAGATCCCCCTTTCTTGGAAGCGGACGCCAACAGCCAAACGACGGCTAAGTTGGGTAAACGTAGATCTGCCCCACTGCCCTTATTGCCTTGCTTCTCCAAATCCTGTTCAGCCTGACATAGGTGGACGGCACTATTCTGTCAAGGGACGTACGAGAGGCTGTGCTCAGGGGGCTGGGGCTCCATAGTCTTGAGTAAGGTACGACTGTGGCTTCAGTGCATGAGGGGTCTGAAATTCGAGGGACTTGGACAATGGCCCCATACTGTAAGGGGGAAACAAGTGATGGAGTGAACAGGAAAGCTTGGACGGACGATCCCGATGCGCGGCTCTGCTGCCAGTGTGAGCACTTTGGCTGGCTGGCCTAGCCAGGCCGTTGAAAGAAGATACAAATGTATCAGGCCCGGCGTGCATCCTCTCTGGCTCGTGTTGGCTGAGCTCAGGTACAGATACGAGATGCATGCAATGGGTGAGTCAAGTTACCTAGACATAGCTTGGACGCAGCCTTCGGTTCCAGAACCGTACCTTCGTAACTTACGGATACACGGCGAGCTGGTTGTATGGGAAAGTCGGTGAAGTGGAAGTGAAGCGTAGAGAATCAGCCGTCAAACCAGTGCTGAGGATTGCGTCCCCATGATGGGCACCACCACCGGCCGTATCTTTGTAAGACGTTGTCTTGACCAACTCCCAATTGCTAGTTCCCCTCAATGCTGCCTACCTTGACAAACATTCACGTAAGGGAACCATCCTGTTCTGTACCGATAGACGTGTGCCTCATCGAGGCGTTGCAATGGGAAGAGATTAATCCGTAGAATAGAGAACATCTCGGGGTATTTCGTCTTCTAGAAATGGAAGCCAATCAGAGCCTATCGGGGATAATCCAGCCAACCTCTCTCAAGGACTCCACCACCTTACCCACCCAGCCCGGCCCGCAGAAGCCCACATAAAATCCAACGACCTGCAGCCTTTGACAAACCCCAAGCCACGTGACCGCACAAACCCACCCGCCGAAAATTCCCAATCCGCCATTGCAACTTTTTTTTCGTAGTCGAATGGCTTTTTTGGCTTTTCCCCCTCCGACCATCACGACAATACTAACCCGACAACCCACCCGTCATCCAGCATTCAAGATGGCCAAGGAAGCGCCCGTCAAGACCGGTCTCATCACCGGTCTCAACCATGGACACGTATGTCGAACCATTACTACCACCGCAACCATCCCCGCCGCCGTCCCGACCTGAGAGAAAAGCCCCTCCGAAATTCTGCGAAACGAAATCTTCGAACTTCCGATTATGGAAATACGATTCGATGATGGATACACACATTGAAGAATGAACACACAGAAGGATGGGCTTTTCTGTCAAGAAGGGAAATCGGCGGCACTGTCCCCTCTCCCCCACACCCGCTTCGTCTCACCTCGTGGAGGATCTCTGCACAACACCTCTCTTCCCACGAGGGGACCTTATTTGCAGAAGATGGACGCTGACCGGTCGTGATTGTTTCGGAAATATAGAAGACCACCGCTCGTGTTGTCAAGCCCCGTGTCTCCCGCACCAAGGGCCACCTGAGCAAGCGCACCGCTTTCGTCCGTGACGTCGTCAAGGAAGTCTCCGGGTAAGTTTCCATCCACACACCATCTCCATGTGTCGTTCACATTATATAACCCTGGACGCACTTCACATCCACACCCAAACCGGACAACAAGTTGCTAACCACATCCCTCCTCCACAGCCTTGCCCCCTACGAGCGCCGCGTTATCGAGTTGCTCCGCAACTCCAAGGACAAGCGCGCCCGTAAGCTCGCCAAGAAGAGGCTCGGCACCTTCGGCCGCGCCAAGAGAAAGGTCGAGGAGATGACCCGCGTCATCGCCGAGTCCCGCCGTGTCGGTCACTAAACGATTTCCCCCTTCGAGAGGAATTCGTCAAAACCAAAATGGGGCGCAACGGGGTTGTTGTGTTGGACTGGCAAACTACTGGGTTTATATGGGTCAAGGGCGTGGTCACAGCATAAAAGTTCGTGGTCTATTTCTAAAAACAAATCAACGGAACTCCCCCGTATCATCATGGAATGATGATGCCTTCACGACAAATACCAAAATTTCAAGCACAACCCATTGCTGCCTCAGACTCTTTTCTTTGACACTGTTCATGTTTCGTTCGCTCTGAAGTGATCATATACTCTCGTGAAGGCTCTGATTGACGACTTGACCATAGTCTATCTGGTTTACCCTATGCCCCATGAAACTCCAAATCCATGAATACGCTCGCCATGCGAAGATGGCCGAGTAATGCTGCAGCATTGTACAAAAGATGATCCGTCTATTTCTTTCCAGGCAGCTTGAGCCACTTGGGAAGTTTCTTCGCAACGCTGCCATCCCCACTTCCCTCCCTCTTCTCAGGTTTCGACGACGAAGCAACAGTCTGCTCCTCATTCGTGTCGTCGCCTTTGGGAATGTCCGGTACTGTGACATCCTGAGCCTTTTGAGCGACGCTACCCTTGAGGAAGGGCTTCTTGCGGATATCTACCGGCACGCTGTCATCCCAGACCAGACTCAGTAACACACTACGCGTGAGCTTGTAGTCGTGTATCAAGCGGTTCTTTGCGCTCTCATCATCCTTAATCATGACCTTGCTGCCGGGTATGACCAGCTTGAAGGGTTGAGTATTGTGTGCCATGACAGATCTCACGCCCTGGTGGAGGGTCGCCCCTGTAGCTTCATGGCCAAACGTCCATTGTGCTGAAGTGTTGTCGGGAAACCGCACCTTCATCGGAACTGTGGTGACAGCCGCTAGACGGGCTTCCTCGGCCTGTCTTTGCGCCTCCAACTCTTTGTCGGAAGGAAGTCTCTTGTTGAGCGCGCTCTGCTGGAGTCGAGCCTGATGAAGCTGGGCGTGGGCAATCGTCGGGGCGTAGTCGTCCTCTGGCACGTCTGCAAGGGCTGCCGCGGGAGTGGTTCCGCTTGGTGCCCGGAAGACGCTGACAGGCTGCAGAGGGTCTGTCGGCTCTGCTTCATCAACCTCCATGGCATCTGCTGCCGGCGCCTCCTGATCTGCTTGTTCTTGCGTTGGAGTGCCGCCTGGCTGTCCAGCCGTTGTGCCCTTTGGCGTCTCGATGGCAGTTTCAGCTGCTGTAGACTCTGTTCCCTCCGTGGCGGGCGCCGGAGCTGGAGCAGTGGCCGCCTTCTTCTCCTCTGCCTCAACTTCAGAAAAGAATTGGCTGATTTCCTCCATAGCCTGGAACAGCGTGCGGTCCGTCTTTTTGAACGACAAGCGGATCAGCACGCTGCCCGAATTGTATCCAAGTTGCGACAGTGTCTTCTGGAAGTCCTCAAACGTGGAAAGCTCCCGACCCATGATGTTTAGGACTGGTGTCTCGTAGTACATCTGACCGCTTCCACTCGCGCCTCCGCTTGTTGTTTGCGCAACGCCCCGTGCTGTGATGTTGAAGTTCTTCCCATTCCCAGCGACGCCGCTCTCAAACTGGCGCAGTACCTTCCATATCGTAAAGTCGCTAGGTAGTTTCTCGATTAAACGACCGTTGGGCGCCGAGTTGGCTTCGGGCATCGGCAACTGGAGTGCGACGGAAACGGCTGATGGTGTCTTGGACTTCTGGACGAGCTCGAGTTTGGCGCCGGGGGTGAGACCGCTCACTCGCCAGACTACTGAGAGGTCGACTGTCTTCTGCTTGTGCCTAGCAGATGGTTAGCTTACTGCGAGGATGGATGGTCTTCAGGGATGAGTAAGGTACTTCAAGAGGTATTTGTCGCTCGAGACGTTGAGCTTCTTGCATGCCTCTTGGAGAACATCTGTCATGTAGGTGCCTGGGCTGACCTTGACAGTAGCTCTCCGCAAATCCGTGCCGATGACCACCACGTGCGACATCGTAGCAACCGAGAGAAGCCGTGGGCGAAAACGCAGTGTCTTATTCTTTTCAACAAAAAGACGTATTCAGTCGTAGTGAAGTTGCTGTTCGGTAAAGATTGAAATCCGATCCGGGGTATCGTGTTCAATATGTTGTTGGCGGGGTTCAAGTCTCGGCGGGGGGCGGGCGTTGCGTCAAGCTCAGGTGGTGGTGTATTGGTTACGTAGAAGTTGGCGGAAGGACGACGAAACACAATGTCAGGAAGTCCAGTTCGGCCTGATGTCCGGGACAAGTGTATACTGGACGTTCTCAGCCGGCCTTAAGTAAAACCTTGTGTATAGGTAATAATAGAAATAAGAAGCTACGGACAGTAAACAATCGTTTCTTAGTTGAATCGTCAAGGTGAATGAGTCTTACTCAGGTACAGGTAATTCAGGGAGGTACGTAAGGCTGGGAAGCAGGCAGTCAGGGTGCTCCGTCAGCAGAGGCGACGGGAGCCGGGCCCTGGCCGGGGAGGGGAGGTGGGACGTGCATCATCGAGCACCACGACGCTGAAAGCTGCTGAAGCCAAGCTCAGGCCAATCAGCGAGCTCCAGCTTGCTGTACGTGGATTTTCCGACCGCTTCGGCCGCGCCATGCGTGTTTGCCTTGCCCTGCAGTAGCACCCAGCACCCAGCAAGAGCAGGCAGGTAGCGCTACACCTCAGCATTCCGCATCGGTTCAACGTCAATTGCAGCTACAACCACCACCATCACCACCAAACGAACTCCCCATCTACGACGACGACGCCCCCCCACGGCCGACCCTACGATCCATCACGAAATAATTACGGTCAAAACCACAACCTTGAGAATCTCTCAAACCATAACAGAACCCAGCGGTCACTCGCTTTAAGAGCCCGAAATGGTGCGCTTCCGTCATTCCCCCTCCCCTCCTCAGCCTCGAGATGCAAAAGGAAACCCCCTCCAGCTAACCAAAGTCCCAGAGCTCTCCCTTCTCCATCAGTTTGTCTTCCTCTTAACCTCCATATAGGCCCTATCTTCTCTCTATCGAATCACCAATTCCTAACCTCCTCTCCCTCTCAGATGGCGGTGCTTGCGTCGCAATGGTCGGCAAGGACTGTGTCGCAATAGCCTGCGATCTCCGTCTCGGCCTCCAAGCCCTCACCGTCTCCAACAACTTCCCCAAAATCTTCCAGTACGGCGACGTCTTCCTCGGTCTCACCGGCCTCGCCACCGACGTCACGACCGTCGGCGACCTCTTCCGCTACAAGGTCAACATGTACCGCCTCCGCGAGGAGCGCAACATCGCCCCGACCACCTTCGCCAACCTCGTCAGCTCCTCCCTCTACGAGCGCCGCTTCGGCCCGTACTTCGTCTCCCCCGTCGTCGCCGGCCTTGACCCCAAGACGGGCAAGCCCTTCATCTGCGGCTTTGACAGCATCGGCTGCATCGACTTCGCCAAGGACTTCATCGTCTCTGGTACGGCGTCTGAACAGCTGTTCGGCATGTGCGAGAGCTTATGGGAGCCGGATCTGGTACGTGGCATATGGCGAATCATGATCCAGGAATTCTAGCAGAAACTAACGTGGACGTCACACAGGGCCCTGATGAGCTCTTCGAAACCATCTCCCAGTCGCTTCTGAACGCCGTTGACCGAGATGCACTATCCGGATGGGGAGCGCACGTGTACATTATTGAGAAGGACAAGGTCACCAAGAGACTGCTCAAGGGCAGACAAGACTAATTCTTGCGGAGGAACTCGGTGTTGAGGAAGAGAAAACTTGATAGAACCGCTACAAGTGGACGGGTTCTACCTAGCTTGTACCAATAGATGGACGTGATCCACTATGAGATGGCTGCCGAAGCCTGCATGAACTAGACAAACGACCTTGATTTACATCCTTATTTGTGACTTTAATGCCTGGATGTTGGCTGCTGTGGTCTATGTACAGCTCTGTGCAATGTTGCCAGGGCTACTACTATGGTACAAGTGATCTATGGTCTAGCTTTGGGCTGGCCTCTAACCATCTAATTCTCCTTCTTTGCCTTGGTAGACTTGATCGCCTTCTTCTGACTGAAGTACGATCTCTCAATAGCCTTGAGGACCTCATCAATGAGACTAAAAAGAACAGAGTCAGCAACAGTAGATGAGCGAGCGAGAATGATGGTCGACTTACATAACAGGGGCGCTGATGTACAAGACCGCCTTCCACTCCAACCAGTTCAAGGGAAGGATGGAGAACAGGTTCTGGAGGAAAGGAGTGTAGAGCAGGGCGAAGTGAAGAGCCATTGAAAGAGTAATGGCATAGACAAGCTTCATGTTAGCCCAAAGAGGCAGGGATAGCAGAGACTCGCTCGAGGACAGCGCGTTCATGGCGTTGAACATCTCGATGACGACCAGAATGGAGAGCGAGACGGTCGAGGCGGACTTGGCGGAGCTGTTGGAGAACATCTGGCAGCCAATCTCAGGGAAGTCTGCAGAGCAGCGGTGGAAACGGGAGAGGTGGTAGAAGCTGATCTGAGGACCCTCGGGGTTGTACATGAACCACCAAGCATAGCCAGCGACAGTCGCAACACCAACGTAAGTACCAATAACCAGGTAGCGGAAGAACAACCAACCGCCGATGAGAGGCTCGTCGCGCTTTCTGGGCTGACGCTTCATAATGTCGTGGTCAGGAGGGTTGAACGAAAGAGCGGTGGCGGGAAGACCGTCGGTGACCAAGTTGACCCAGAGAAGCTGGACGGGGATCAAAGCCTCCGGCATACCGAGAGCGGCAGTGAGGAAGATGGAGACAACCTCACCAATGTTGGAGGAGATCAGGTAGCGGATGAACTGCTGGGTGTTGTTGTAGATGGAACGACCCTCCTCAATAGCAACCTCAATGGTAGCAAAGTTGTCATCGGCGAGAACCATGTCGGCGGCGAGCTTGGAGACGTCGGTGCCAGAGCCCATGGCGACACCGATATCAGCCTTCTTGAGAGCGGGAGCGTCGTTGACACCATCACCAGTCATGGCGACGACCTCTCCCTGTTGCTGGAGAAGGTCGACAAGCTTGGACTTATGGCTGGGCTCGACACGGGAGAAGAGGGATGCGTTTCGGGCAGCTTCGTTTGCCTCGCTGTCGCTCAGGTTCTCAAACTCTCTGCCAGTGAAACTCTTGCCCTTGAGGTCTTCATATTCGTCAAAGACACCAATCTGTCGGCAAATGCTCTCAGCGGTGTTGCGGTTGTCTCCAGTGATGACAATGACACGAATTCCGGCGTTCTTGCAGTGGCGGATGGAAGCGGCAACTTCCGGACGAGGAGGATCAAGCATACCAACCAATCCGAGGAAGGTCATGTTCTGCTCAATCTGGGCGTACTGTGCGGTAGACTTGGCTGACTTCAAGGCGGGGTTCTCACCAATGTTGTCGACGCTGGCGAGGGCGATGACACGGAGACCACGGTTACCGTAGTCAACAACTTCCTTGGCGATCAAATCGGCGAGCTTGCTGTTCAGGGGCTGGCGCTTTCCGTTGGCTCCAACAAGAGTGTGGGTGCAGCGTTCGAGGACAGACTCAGGAGCACCCTTCACCAGGAGCTTCTTCTCTCGGCCGTTCTGAACAAGGACGGACATGCTCTTGCGATCTCTGGAGAATTCATAGGTAGACAGACGGGGGAGCTGGCTCTCATACTGAGAGCTAGCGTAGTGAAGACAATCCTCGGGGTTGCTGTTGGAAGGCGCACACGGTCCAAGCTTCTCAACAAGAACTCTCAGAGCGCCCTCAGTGGGCTCACCGACGTTGGAGAAGGTACCCTTGGCCGCATCGTAGGCGAGCTTGGAATCGTTGCACACGGCGGCAACCTCAGTCATCTGGCGGACAGTAGCAGAAGAACGTGTAAGATCGGTGACCGTCTGGCCTCTGAGAGAGATAGAACCCTTGGGGGCAAATGTGGTGCCTTCGACATCGTGCTCAACGAGGTCTGATCCGTTCTCGCTGATGTAGACAAGCTTGCTGACACTCATCTGGTTGGTGGTGAGGGTACCGGTCTTGTCGGAGCAAATGACGCTGCAGCTTCCAAGGGTCTCCACGGACGGCAAGCTTCTGACGACGGCATTCTTTGCAGCCATCTTGCGAGTTCCAAGAGCCAAGCAGGTAGTAATGACAACGGCGAGACCTTCGGGAATAGCAGCAACACCGAGAGACACGGCGATCTTCAAGTAGTAGATGGCACCCTTGGTGAAGGATCCGTGGCTGGGGTCGCTGAAGTGAGGGATGTTGATGAGCCAGACGAGGATGCAAATGACCGTGATAACCTTTGCGAGACTGTCGCCGAAGTCGTTGAGCTTCTGCTTAAGAGGAGTGGGCTCGGAGATCTGGGCGGTGATACTCTCATGGATGTCGCCAATAGCGGTTTGGGAACCAGTCAAGACAACGACAGCCTTTGCGCGACCAGTAACAACAGTGGTTCCAGAGAACAACATGTTGGTTTGGTCTTGCAACACAGCCTTATCATCCTTGACAACATGATCGCAGTCCTTGCCAACACTCTCGCTCTCTCCAGTCAAGATAGCCTGGTCGACGTTGAAGCTGTTGCTCTCGATGGCGATGATACGGCAGTCGGCAGGAATGCGATCACCAATGTGGACGGAGACGACATCACCGGGGACGAGCTCCTCAGCCTTGACACGGGAGACTTGGCCGTTACGGATGACGTTGGCAGAGTTGGCAGAGTACTCCTGCAGGGCGGCGATGGCTTTCTCGGCGCTGCTCTCTTGTGAGACACCGACGACGGCGTTGAGGATGAGAATGGTCAGAATCTGGAAATCGGCATTGTTAGCCGGGCAAAGTCTGGGCATTGTGGGTATTCGCATCCAAGATTACGTACCACAGCTGGGTCGACGAAGGCGCTCCAGCCTTCCTCGTTGTCGAAGAGCGCCAGAACGAAAGAAACAGCGGCAGAGCCGAGGAGGATTATGACGAGTTGGTCCTTGAATTGCTCGAGAATGAGCTCCCAGATGGGCGTCGGAGGTTCTTCGGGGATGACTGTGGACGGACTGTTAGCACGAAACTATCGTGGGTTTCGGGTCGAGTCGCAAAGCTACTTACCATTCTTGCCATGCTTGGTACGCGAGGCAATGACTTGATCATCAGTAAGGCCGGTCTTGGGGTTCACTCCCAGGGTTGAGAGGACCTTTTCGGTGGGTGAAGCGAATGCGCTCTCCATCGCGAAAGCTGCGCTGCGCGCGGGACTTGTCTTGTCGAGGAACCGTCACTATCTAGCCGAGTTGCAGCGGCCGTCGGAGTCTGTTGTCGAATGGGGAAACGGTGGACACGAAGGAACTCTTCAAGTGGTGTTGAAGAGAGAAAGAGAAAACCGAGATCCGAACCTTGTGAAAGAAAAGGCTAAGGATGTAAAGGAGAAAAAGAAGAAGGTGCTGGAAAAGTTGCGATCAAACAGACAGCGTATCTTATTGCCGTTGCGGTGGGGCAGGAAGCTGAAATCGTCGCCGAACTCCCACTGGGATTCCAATACGCTCTACGTGTTCGTTCAGTGTTTGCCTAGCAGTAACAGTGCGGAACGGATAGCTGCCCCTTCTGGAACCTTTTTTTTGGCCGTCGAGGAAAGATCCCGAGCTTGTCCTTTTAGGGCTAGCGCTGGTGGGGGAGCCCCTGTAACAAGAAACAAGACTCCCAAGGTCCCAGCAATTCACCTGTGCGTCCCTGGCAAACTGGCCCGTATCTGTCCATATCGGGGACCAGCCACTGCGGCCCCGACGCAGACAAACGTGGGGCAGGGACCAATTAAAACCACTATACGGAAGCCGATAATCCGGAGCGTAGGGCAGAGTGGAGGGGGAAAGGGGAGCTCTTTGACAAGAACCTGGCAGCCTGGAAACGATACGGAGTACGTACCCGCCTAGCTGACCTGATAAGCTTACACACTGGTGCAACTACCTTACAGTGCTGACTGATCATTTATCGGAAGTGCCTGGTGTGCCTGCGTTTCGTACCGTGCTGTGCCTGAGTGGCACGGGTGGTAGAAGTCCCCCGTAATGACATAATCACCTTGTTCACGTGACTGGCTAAAGGTTCCCTTTCCGATTGAGGCCCGCCGTCCCCGTCTCGAGTGGACCAGCACTAGGCCGCTCCGGAGCCACTTGGGGCGCTCGCGCCGAGCCCGAGTCAGGGTCGAGGAACGCCGCCAACGTACGGAAAACGGCCTGCAACCATTGCATCCACATCGTCCGCATGTCTTGCGTAAGGCAGGACGAAGACGTGGGTCATGGAGGCGACTGACACCCACTTTGGAGTCTCGGGGTATCGAGATCACGTCTTCCATGCAGTCCCGCCAAACACTCAGAGTCGAGCGATATGGATAACCCGTACCGTCAAGCCACCGAGACTCGTGTGGTGGGCGGCGAGACCAAACGTTCGGGCCAGATCAATAGGCGACTAAATCACTAGACTGGCGAAGAGGTTTCTTTGTCTCCCGCTCGCTACGCCGCGCATCAAGACATGGCGCTCATGGCGCTGATGGACCGCGGCCCGTCACCGCAATGTTCAGTTTTTCACTCTCGGACACACCATGCTGAACCAAAGTCTGCATCGAGCTTCAGCAGGAACTCCGAACCGGCGGCAGCTTCGTCTTCCGGCAGAATGTGTGCTACGATGGCATCCAATTCGCGTCCAAGACGCAAGATCCACGGATCTTGACCCGACAACGATGCACACTAGAGACGCGTTCTCTGGCCCGGCGGGCAGGCTGCATGTCGCAGCTGCATTCCTCCCGACCGGCTCGTTGGTAGATTCGCCGGGTGCGACTGTCCACCGCAGCTCCGTACCACGCCGTGACTTCTCACGAGAACTGAGCTACCGTATGTAGAGCTTGATCGTCGTCGGCATGTAGAGGCCGGCATAGGAAGAACGATGAATGTTGAGTTCCAGCTCCGTGGTTCGGCCGGAGTCGTCCCTTCGGCCCACAGTCCGCTTTCCTTACATATTCTATGGTGTATGTCTAAAGCGCCGTGCCTGCTCCTCCTCTCCTCCTTCCTCGGGCCCTCCTCGTCATTCGTCTTGAAAGAGCTTTCCGGCCTCGAAATCCTCTTTCCCTCCTTCGTTCTAGTGACCCACGCTGGCTTTCCTCCCGTGCCTGGACTAAGCAATCCCACGCCATCCACTGGACATCATCCTCTTCTGCCTCAACCCTTTCGAGCTTCCCACAGCTGGCAGTCCCAGCAAATTTGCATCGTTCATCTCTTGGTGTTGATACCATACATCATGTTTTGAATCCTCTTGGAACCGCTATTGCTTCCTTTTTTTGGTGTCTTGGAACCCAGTCTTACCTCCTCTTTCTTGGACGTCGCAATGGCATGGCCACCACCACCACCACCACCACTACCAGACTCTGCATCTCTTGGATCTTGCTCTCGCTCCAGCTCCGTCCGAATCACCCGTAAGACAGATTGCGCCACATCGTATCCCCCATCGCCCGGGTCACAGCAAGATTCCATCAAGTCTGACCAGGTCTTTGAAAATGTCGACCTTTCATCCAGTCTCGACGGTCTGCACATCAACGGTGTCGAGGCTTGGAATACTTTGAGCAGCATGGCTGTTTTAGGTTTAGAGCCCAACAGCGGCGACTCCCATGACGATCTCATTCCATTCCCTCGGGTATCAGTTGATAGCAGCAACGACGACGATCATGAGCATTCGGACTCGGACACGTCCTCCAGACGAGGTCCATTTTACAAATGGATGAAAACGCTCCATCGACGCGCCAAGCAGCGAACACAGCATATGAATGGAGACGGTACCCTACCCTGGAAGCTCCTAGATTCGGCTGATAGGTCAGCACTTTCTCGGAGGACTCGCCATAGGAGATCATCATCAGGTTCATCATTCGGATTTGTCGCTGCGGTGAAAAGTGCTAGTGTCAGTCTTGCTAGCGGCAGTGCTATCACACGCCCTCGAGGCAACAGCCGCCGCTCGCTGGCCTATTCCAAAACCGAGCGCAGCAGCAGAGGTTCTTTCACCGCGACTAGATTTTCAGAGGACAGTTGTAATGCCGAGTGGCCAGCTCAGGTTGACCCGTTGGCAACCGAACGCGCTTTGCAGCGTAGACGCATCTTGGAGGAACTCATCAGCACTGAGGAAGGTTATATTGCGGACGTCCGCTTCCTGATGAACGTAGGTCGCCGATGCTGTCCAAGGCAATGGTCACGAACGTAGAGAGAACTAATTTTGTTAGGTTTACATTACAATTCTCGCTTCCCTGCCTACTCTACCTCCGGGGCTTAGGTCCTCGATCAACCGTAATCTCACAGATATCGTTGAACTCCATGAAGAGCTACTGGGCGAGCTGCACCGCGCTGTACCGGACTCAGAGTACACCCAGATGGAGATCCCGTCGTTGCCCAGAAAGCCCCCTAGCCGTGGACATCAGCGAATGAGGAGTCTCGATTCAGTGCCAGAAGACGACGACAGGGCCATAAGCTGGCTTCAAGAAGTACCTGGTATGATATCTGAAGCACAGGTTGCTGGAGATGTAGCGAAGGTGTTCAGTAGAAAGGTAACTGCTCGAATCCACATATCACCACGGCTGAGCGTCATTGCTGACCTGTTTTGCAGATGAACCGCTTCTTCATTTACGAGGAATACGGCGCAAAGTATGAAATGATGATCAAGGATGTTGCTTCGGCTCATCGGACTATGCCGCAATGGGATACGTATCAGAGAGGCATTGAGACACTCGCTTCATCGTTGGGCTCTGCGAACAGTCATGCCGACCAGGCAAAGAAGTCACTGACTATTGGAGATCTCCTTGTCAAGGTCAGCAATGTGCTCCAATCGGGACCAGACGTGGTGCTGATGAACTTTTAGCCAATCCAGCGGATCTGCAAGTATCCTCTGCTTTTTGCCGAACTTCTGAAGCACACACCTGTGGCAGACTGTCCGAACTCCCACATGGAGGTTGAAAGCGCTCTTTTGCGACTGCGAGAGGCCACAGCTGAGATCAATCGAGCGACGAACGACAGGCGAATGAAATCCACGCTGGAAAGAACTTGGGTTCTTCAAGACAGACTGGTCTTCCCGGAGCAGGTAAGTTAGTATCACAAAGCGCTCACGGATTTAAATTAACAGCTTTGGGAAGAAACTCGATGCAGCGTCGAAAAACCGGATCAGGTCCTTTGGCCATGTTGAGCTTTGCGGTGCACTGCATGTTTGCTGGCAAACAAAAGATGGCGCAAAAGGACAGTACATGACTTGTCTCCTCTATCACAATGTCTTTTGTCTAGCTTCAGCCAGCAAAGTGGACCAGATCTACACTATCCAAGCGTGTATCAACCTGGCCAGCATCAAGATCGAGGAGGCGGATAATGGGAGAGGTTTGTGGCGTTTCCATACGAGTGCCCGAGTATCTCTGCTAACAATTCCAAGGTCTTCAATGTCATACAGCTCCATTCTCATGGAAACTTGTTTTTGAGTGCGATTCCCAGCTATACGAGATACTCATGACTGCCTGTTCGCCTCGAGAGCAAGAAGAATGGCGAAGCCGGTTGTCGGTTGCCAGAACGGGAGAGCAAGAGCAGATCGACCCTAATCTGTACAGCTCAATGTCTTTGAACATGAAGAGTCTGGGTACGGTGTTTAGAAAACCAGGTTTGTCCAGTTCCCCCAAAAGTCTTCGGTCCCAGTTATTGACAGCTGCCCAGGCACTGTTGCCCGTCGGATATCGATTCATCGCGCCACCACAGTTGGCCCAAAATCGCCCTTGTGTCAGGTCATTTTGAAGAATACTAGTGTTCTGCGAGACAATTCAGATGCCGCATCCACTACATCTATCAACCGCTCGCAATCGCTGCTCACAACGAGCCCTCGCATTCCAATTCTGGCACCTCCACGAGGCGAGAGAGCTCGACTTGAAGCTCTCATGTCTGACATCTGGAGCCGAGATATCCTCCCGTTCCCCGGTATGACTGGTAGATCTCGCTCTGAACACTTGGTTCGGAGTTCTGCTAGTACAATGATGCGGAAGCTCAGCGTTGCAAGCATCGCCAGCTCTTTTGCAAAGAGGTCCAACAGTGTTGCAAGCATGGGGAAGCTCGTCCCTGACGAGAATGTGGGAGAGAAGCAAGAAAACGCGCATCATGGACATGCCTTCAAGCTTTGCGAAGAGGATAGTCCGAATATTGCACACGGTCTCGATGACGAAGCTGGTGAAACAGCAAAGACTCGCTTGCCCAAAATCGACGACGATGTCGAGGTTATAAGCACGGTTAGCGCTCCGGCGACCCCGATGTTGAATCCGACCAAGATTCTTGTTCATGCAGATCCAGTCGAACAATTGCGGCTGGAACACATCTACTCTGGGGACGCGTATACATCGAGACCATCCATTTTGCGCACTGCGTCAGGAAACAACTTGCCGAGAGTGCGTCGAGACCACATTTCCGACAGAAAATCACCCTGTCCGTCCGAGAAAGGTGTTTACCGGGAGCATCAACATCGAGCACCAAAAGGGCCCAAACTGTCCCACAAGGCGTCGATGCGCTGGGGCAAGGCTGGCACATTGAACAGAGACGATTTGGTCCAGGGCATCCGAAGCTTCTTTCGATGAAGACCAGCCGCAGCGTTTGGCCTTTAGTCGGCTTCAATGGATGAATCATGACAGATTGACTGGAATTGAATGCGAAAGATGGAGGTGCACGTCACTATGTTACGCCCATTGGCTATATTCATTGAGAAACTCTGAAGAGGGGAAAGGCACTGAGTTTATATGGAGGTATTCTTAGTTCTGATTGTTTTTATCGTCGAGTTGACGAGAGTATAATGATACCCCTGCGTTAAAGTGCTCATTACCCACCGCAATAAGTTACGCAGTCTCGAAGTTACACCAGATGATGTCAGTGATGCCATCGTGAGGCTTGACTCCTGGTAATGCCTCTTTCTGCGGACGTCCGTCTCCATGTTTGGACCTTCTTGGGAAAGTGGATGTTGAGCTCCCGTAGTGAGCCCCACCATAGCAAGCTGCCCTGGCCAGTGAGGTGACTTGCATTGATGTAAGGTACCTCGGGACATCGAGGGCGGTTCAGTTTGCGCTGTGAAAAAGGGCATGGCAAGGCACACAATAAGTAAGGTAGGTACTCCGTACTTTGTGCCAAACGTTTCCTTCCCCATCTAGATCATTCCAGCCGCAAGTTGTCGCAACGTGTAAACACCCCTTTGGCCTACTTTCCTTGGTCTGAGATTAGCGGTGACGTACTACAGTGGTGCGATGCAGGAACGCTCAGAGTTCCCGGTACCTAATGGGCGAGTTTGGCGACGTGCCTGGACCAGCTGGGCGATGCACGGAGCACATAGCTGCCCCGCTCCCTGCCTGGGCAAGCTCCCCAATGGCGGGGCAGTGATGAAAGGCAGTCGCGTGTTCCCGCACCTATGACGTACCTTCCAAATCACGAGCTTCCCAGCTCCCGCCCTCTCCTCGTAGCGTAGCTGGGGGAAGCTCCTCCCCCTCTTCAGCTTTTCCTCATATTAAAAGGCTGCGGCATACCTTGAGCTCCCATCTGTCTTCTCCTCTTCAGATCAATCAACCAAACAAAAACATCCTGAGATACCCGACGACATTTCGTCTTACACGCACATTCCTATCACATTCACAAGACCTCCATCGAGAGTTCATCATTCAATCACTTACCAAAACACACTACACTCCTACACACCACCACTACAACAGTCAAAATGGTTCGCGGCGAGGCTTCCCAGACTAAGGTCCACTTCAAGGGCCAGGAGGACGACTTCATCATCTTCGTTGAGGACCCCGAGCTCTACAAGAAGTGGAAGACCGACAAGTCTGTTCCTCTGGCACACTTCATTTCCTCATACAAGATCTTCGTCACGCACAAGTAAGTTGCAACTTTGCCTTCTTCCTACCTCTTCCTTCCCATCACCAGTGCTTCATCTGGTTGTCTATTCACCATCTTTGGCCCAATTGGATTTGAGGTCTGCCATTGCAATGGCTTCGGCCTATGGCAGGGCGGGGGAGCGTTCGGGCCTCCAATTGTTTGCTTCCCAACATGCTACCGACACCTACTTGGCCTACCCCGCATTTCCACACATTACGCACAGCGGCTAACTCAATGAATTAGGCAAGGTGCACAGGGCCAGTACGATGCCGCTTCCAAGTCCACACTCGAGAACGAGTTTGGTACCAGCGTCGATGATGAAGTGATCAAGCAGATCCTTGAGAAGGGTGACACCCAGAACATTGAGGTCAGTCATACGTTGGACACACCACCTCAAGTGCAATCCACTGACAATGATATCAACAGTTCCCCGACCGCCAGGGTCCCAAGAACGATTCCCAGGGCGGCATGGTTGCCCACTAGAGGTCTTCCAACTCCCGCAGTCGCGTGAGGCTAGACGTGAGGGGCGGCATTGTCGCATCAGCTCGGCCAACATCTTACAGAAGGTTGCGGCCCAATGTGAGCCGAAACCGACGATTCCCTGGCGCTCGACGTAGCTGCGGTCAAAGGCGGGCTTTTCTGTTTTGAGGCGTTGAGGTATGGGGTGGTGTGTGCAGCGATGGCAGCGAGGCATTACGCTCGACGGAGCACGCCTAACAATGACAATCCGAAAGAAGATGTCTTGAAGGGGAACATTGATCGCGTTCCCATCAACCAATTTACATGCAACGGAGGATGATGTACAAGGTGTGATAACCTTAAAAAATCTCCTTCGAGCCCGACAAGGGTTCAACATCGACGCCATGGTCAAGCATGGGGTCGATTGCATGGGTTTACTTAGCGAATAGCTGAATATGAGCACATGACTTCTCTCCATCGATTTTGTCCTTGTCTGCACCCGATGATTATGAATGATTTTGACGTATGCACATTTAAGGGGTGTTTGATCCATTTGCGGTGCAAGCAGTAAGAGTGCTGAAAATCTTCGCAGTACACGAAATGTAAGAAGCTTGGGTAGTAAGTCAGTGCCGTCAGATCCGAAAACTGATCGGGTCGACTGGCAATAGAGCAAGCTTTCGCGATATGGTTGACCGACCGGGCGATTGATCAAAGTAAGCTCTTTCCGACGGCTTGGTCAGGCTTACTTCATGTAAATTGAGCCGCCAGGAACGGGCAGGACGCCTGGTCTATATAAAGATGGTTTTAATGTATTCGAATATGTGCAAGGCTGTCCGAAAAGTGGAGATACGAGTCGTTTGGGGGCCAGCGACGGCGGCCCCCCCGTTAGCTTGTCCAGCCGTGTTGTTAATCGTGCTGGACCTTGCGTCGTTGGTTCCTGTTGGGTCGTGGGTTTTTTTCTTCTCCCTCTCTCGTGGACTCGTGATGTGGTGCGCGCCCGTTTCTAAAGTGTTTCGGGGAGCCGCTGCGGTGCCTTGGCCCCCCCCCCCCCCCGACCCCTGCGTAGCCGCCCCCTCCTCGCCTGTCGCTGTTGCCTCCACGCGCCTCAAATTCTGAAAGGGGTTATTTTTCTCTTTTTTTTTGTCGTCGGGGGGACGATGTATGTGCTGTATGTGTGTGTGTCTGCATGTGGTGTCACTGATTACATACTTTGAGGTCATCTACACACACGCCCTTTTTCAGGTGAGAATGAAGGTTCGATGGAAAGCAAAAAAAGAAAAAAAAAATCGAAGAAAGAAACCTTGACGCTCCCGTAAACCATCGGTTCCCTTGGCTGCGAAGGAAAAAGTCTAAGTGCGAAAGAGAGAACAGAAGAAGGCGCCAAGAGCTCACGAGACCATCACGGGTCAACGGCAACTCTTTTTTTGAAAATATTTCTCTTGACTTTTTTTTCTGAATTGGTCAGTCCCGAGAGGTAATCTGAGAGGGATGAACCCCATGTCGTGGTATGCCATATGTCACCGGACGTTAAGCTTGTTTGCCGAGATTGCCGTCACATCGTGTCAGTTGATGATGATGGGGGACAAATTACAATTGGAGGGCTCATGTTTTGGGACTCATTCTTGGATCTGGTGATTTTTTTTATTGGAAATTTCTTGTCTTGATATTAGGTGTAGCATTGGTTGCTTCGGTCTCTATGGACCAAGGCCACGTCTCTTGACAGCGTTTTTCTTGGGCGGCGGCTATTCCTGGCAGAATCTCTCTCTCCAGCGTCCGCGCTCTCTCGCTCTCTTCTCATCCCATCCCCCGAGAACCAGAATCCCCTCATCCCGATATATTTTTGAGCCGAGCTTCGGGATGATACAATCCACCCTCCAGAACATGGGAGGTTGCATGCTCCAAAGCGAGGTGCCAAGGAGTCTCCTGTCTCTGGTCCTGCGGCTGCCCCCAACTGACCCATGCCCCGGTCAACGCGCCACCCACTGTGTGTAAGTCCATGGTAAGCCGATACGAAACAGGACGAACGACGACCGCATCCACCCACCCACACCACCACCACCACCACAACTGCCACGAGAAAGTATGCCCACGCTGAGATGACTTGAAGAGGAAAAAGGCTGAATAAGGTTATACCGTTATCGAGCCGCTGTAACCGAGAGTTGAGGAATAATCATGTAACCCTTTATCGTCAGGAAGAACGCCGATGCTGGATGCCGTGATATCGATTGGGATCGTTATAAACATGAAAGGAAAAAGTAGTAAACAAGTTGTCATGATAGCTCAGGGAAAGAACGGTGAGGTCTCGTTGATTCTCCCGAGTTTGCTTGGACTTGCTCGCCATGGGGTATACGGGAGTCTCTCTGACAGGTAGATGAGTGTACCGTGCGAGGTCGAGACAATTGTAACCGCCGCGAAGAAGGGGCGAGTGCAGTCTATACGCGAGAGCCATTGCGGCCTCTTTGGGGAAGGGTCCAGGGCTTAGCACAAATGATCTGGATACAAAAGTCAGTAAAATGTATAATGAGGTATAGATTTCATGCAAGCGTACCTCTCCTTCGCTGTAAGCCCAAAAGTAAACAACCAACCCGACAATGTAGTAAAGAGCAGAGTTGGTGCCCTGGTAGATGAGGGCGGCGGCGAGGGTGGTGAGAGGGAGGATGATGAGGCGGAACTCGAGACTGCGGTGGATTGCCGAGCCGGCGATGAATCCTAAAGGCCACTCCAGGGCCACCATGAACAGCGCCATGAGGAGATTGATAATTTGTAACACCGGCACGGGCTTGACAGCTGGGTCCAGCGTTTTGGTCAAGAAGTCCCAAAAGATCTTGGGCCAGAAGAAGCCCTCGAGAGCAGCGGCAAACTGGTCTGTTCGCAAAAGGTTAGTATTGAAGGTGCTTTGGCCCTCATGAGAGAGATCCAACTTACAAGCTGCCGCGCTCATAACGATGAGCCGAGCCCAATGGTTCTTAATAAGACGACCCATATTTCTCGATTAAATAATGTTGTTGACTTTTCGTGGAGCCTTCTTTTCCTCTCTCTTTCTGATTGCTCAGTTGTATTGTGAAATCTTTGATCCCTCTTTTTGCCTGTTGCGTTGGTAACCTGTATTGCGACCCTGCTGTGTCCGTCCTCTTTTCCCAAATAAACCCGTTGAACCAGTGAATGAAAGGAACGAAGGAAGCGGTCGTCGAGATCGGAGCCCTCTCGTGGAATAAAACGGGTAGTGGTGTAAAAGGCGACTAGGTCGTAAGGCAAACCGTGCAACGGCGAAAGGAAAGGAATAGGTACCGGACCTGCGGGTTGAAGAAAGAAGTGAAGGCGTTCGAACCGAAGAGTGTCGATATTAAAAGAAGGATATCGACAGGCAAGTGCGCAGCGCTGGCGAGGAAAGAAGAGAAGGTCAAGAGGAAGGACCAGAAGTGTCAACCGATCAATGAGGCGGGGGAGGACGACAGATCTATATTGAGACGAGAGAGTCGGGATGGATGAGACGACTTGGACTGAAGGTGGCAGACCCAGACCAGGGTGGGCGGATACTGGTGTGTGCCTGGCTGTGTGAGAGGTGGAGGACGATGTGGGCTTGGTCCAGCCCAGTGGGCAAGACGCCGAGCCGCACAGAAAAGCTGGTTGAGGCTTGTATCAGAATGGGCCCCGGGCTAGCTTGCTGGGCAGGGTATCAGTGTCGGGTGTTTCTGGCTCGACGCTGGAGCGAGTTCTCTAGAGAGCCAGGTACGAGCAATCTGATCTATGATGACAGCGGGCATCCGAGCGGCATTGAGACGTTTCTTGTTGCGCGAGGGGTCTTGGTTCTGCTATAGACCAGCCAGCAGAACTAAGAGGCGAAGCCAGGGGTCAGGTTGGCGTTGGTGATGATGTTGGTGGAGGTGTTGGTGGAGGTAGTGATGGTCAGTGTTGCAGGAAATGTGGACAGCAGTGACGGCGTGGTGTGTGATGCTCGTGGACCAGGATATCGTAGGATCTGAAGGCTGAAGCTCTTTGCGTTGAGGCTCTGTGGGAGTTATTCTCCTAGTGCCGGGAGACCGTGGTGAGGTACGGGGTATGAGGCAGTAGTCGGGATGGTGAAGCGTTGTGGTGGAGTATTTGGTACGTGATGTTCGTCAGGGATCTGTGCTCTATCGCCCCCGTCGCATGAAGGTTGTTTGATGATCAGACAGGACGGCTGTCAGGGACACTGGTGAAGCAAGGAGGTGGAAGAGGGACAGAAACGATGGCTGGTCGCACACGCGAAAGATGGAGGTAGACGAGTTTTAAGAAACGCCAGCTTTTGGGAGTCTGGTCGGATGAGAAAACCGGGGTAGAGTGATCTGGTCGGTCCATCTAGGCGGGATTGGATGCAAGAAAGAAGTGCAGTGCAGAAAGCGGCGCAGAGAGCGGCATCATACGTCCGTCTGGCATGGCAGCGTTACGGCGCTACCATACCCGCCCGACCCAGCCACGGCCATGGCCGGTCATGGAATCTCAGTCGAGAACCAGTTGAAAGTGGTCACACAGGTATTGGAGAAGGGCGACTAGACACTAGAGGTAGCTCAGCCAGGGCCCCAAGGAGGTTGAAGCCGTCACTTGACTGCATGATGGGGGATATGCTTGGGTGAAGGATGTAGGCGAGCGGGTACGGATGCAATGTTGCCCGGGATGGGTGCGCGAGGCCAAGGCACGGTGAGAGAGTTGAGGGACATTGTTTCCTGCAAGCAATATAGTGAGTGGAGGACGTGGCGAGGCGTGGGGCTAGGCGACTTGAGGATCGGTGTGCGTGAATGGCTCGAACAAGTAACGAGAGAATATCTGTGAGGTAGGTATGGACTATGGAAGTTTTGGTGTGCAATACGGATTGAGCGAGTTGACGAGGTCGGAGGGGCTTGGGAAAGGGTCGAGTGACAGAGGTGGTTAACGCATCGACGTGATTGGGCCCGTACGCACAAGCCGTGGGCGGTTAGAGAATGAGCTCAGGCCAATAAGACCCCTTGCTGCTTCTCCTCTGGCAGGCGGAGAGTGGAGCGCACCTG